TAGGCTGAGATCTGAGGAGCAAAGTTGGAAGCCAGCCCAGGCAGGAAAGTCTGTGAGACTCTTATCTCAGTTAACCACCAAAATGCTGGAAAGGGAGCTGTGGCTCAAGTGGTAGAGTGCTCGTGTTTAGCATAAAAGCTCAGGGACTGTGCTTAGGCTGAGTTCAAATCCCAGGAAAAGCAGAAAAAGAATTAATTAAAATAAAAAAAATTATCATCTACAAATGACGAACCCCAAATCTATTTTTTCCAGCTCTTAGCTTTCTTCTGAACGTCAGTTCTGTAGATGTCTAATGAAGTGTCATAATATTTGCAGACACATATTTAAATGTTATATTCTTATTCTTATCTAACTCAAGACTGTCTGAAACGGAACTCTTTTTTTTAATTGTAAAAATACTGTACAGAGGGTTTACAATTACATGGACAAGATAATGAGTACACTTCTTATCAAGCATTGTAGCCTCCTCCTTTGTTTCCCCTTCCCATCCCTTCTCATCCTCCCCCCACCCCCCCCACCAAAGTTGTAAAGTTCGTTTTTGACATAACGATTGTACATCTCATTGTTGCAATGGGTCCACCTGTATCCCTATTTAAATGATTTGTTTTTCCCCTTCCCCTCCACAAATTATACCGACATCAAATACAATGAAAGCAGGGGTTATACTGTGGGGGAGGGACATACAAAGCAACAAAGAAATAATCTTATAATTGCGTTAGAAACAAATGCATGAAAGAAAAAAACATTTAAAATACATATCTTAGGGTTCATGTTTCTAACATCATCTTATCTGACCTTTTCTGCTTGACTCATACATATACTAGATATTGCAAATAAGGGAAATCATGGGACCTATGTTTCTTTGGGCTTGGCTTACTTAATATAATTTTTTCCAAGTCTTTCCACTTCCTAACAAATGGGGCAATGTCATTCTTTCTGATGGAGGCATAGAATTCCATTGTGTAGATATACCACATGTTCTTCATCCATTCATCTACTGAGGGGCATCTGGGTTGGTTCCAGATCTTAGCTATGGTAAATAATGCTGCAGTAAACATAGTTGTGCTGGTAGCTTTAGTGTGGTCTTGTTTGTAAACATTTGGGTAAATGCCCCAAAGTGGACTGCTGGGTCATAGGGGAGCTCTATGTGGAGTCTTTTGAGGAACCTCCATACTACTTTCCAAAGTGGTTGAACAAGTTTACACTCCCACCAACAATGCAGTAAGGTTCCCTTCTGTCCACATCCCCTCCAGCATCTGTTGTTATTAGAGTTCTTGATTTTTGCCATTCTAACTGGGGTGAGGTAGTATCTCAATGTTGTTTTGATTTGCATTTCTTTTATGGCTAGGGAGGTTGAGCATTTCTCCATGTGTCTATTGGCCATCCTTCTTTCTTCTTCAGAGAAGTTTCTCTTTAAGTCATTAGCCCACTTATTTATTGGGCAGTTCTTTCTTTGAGGATTTGTTGTTGGGAGATTTAATTTTTTGAGTTCCAAGTATATTTTAGGTATGAGACCCTTGTCCTTTGTATGGCTAGTGAAGATCTTCTCCCAATCCGTGGGCTTTCTGTTGATCTTGCTAGCTATGTCCTTTGCCATGCAGAAGCTCTGCAACTTCGTGCAATCCCATTTGTCCAACCTTTCTTTGATTTGTTGTGTTTCCGGGTCTCTATTAAGAAAATTTCAGCCTGTGCCAAGGAGACCTAGGGTTTCTCCTATTCCATCCTGTAATGTTTTCAGAGTGTCTGCTTTGACTCCAAGGTCTTTGATCCATTTGGAATTGATTCTGGTGCAGGGTGATATATAAGGATCTAGCTTTAGTTTTCTACAAGTTGTTAACCAATTTTGCCAGCACCATTTACTGAAGAGGCTGTCTTTCTTCCATTTTATCTTTTTAGCTCCCTTATCGAAGATTAGATGGCTATAGGCCTGTGGGTTCATTTGTGGATTTTCAATTCTATTCCATTGATCCTGAGGTCTGTTCTTGTGCCAGTACCAAGCTGTTTCGATTGCTATAGCTTTGTAGTAGAGTCAAACGGAACTCTTGAACTTACTTGCCCTTCCTACTCCCATTTCTGTTAGTATGCCACCCTAAACTAAACCCATGTACCTTTGAATTGTTCATCTTTCTGAAGTCCACCGCCAGTCAGAAATCAGAATGCAGTTCTTCGAGCTCATTTTCCTGCTTCCTCACCTGGTTTAATCCCACTGCTGCCTCAAGAGCAGGGGCTTGCCTTCACTGTTCACTTAGCAATTACACGTGCACAGCCCTGCGGCCATGCCAATCAGCCTGTTCCACTTCATGCTCTCCATTGATTTCACAGACAGATGGACTGAGAATGCGGTGTCCCTTCTCGCTGAGACAGTGGTGACTCAAGACATGAACCAAGATAGCATACCAGCAAGTTAGAGCAGAAAAGGAGCAGAGTTGCACCTTTCCCTAGTGAAGGTGTTTCTACCACGGTCCTGTGGTTTGTGTGTCCTGTCCAGCACTGTGGTGTGGCCAAGCCTACACTCAGTGGTGGTGTCCCAGCCGGTCTTGTGAAGTAACAGCATAGAAGACAGATGTACATGCCAGAATGCCATTTGTTTTGAGGAAAGCATGATTTTCTGTGTTGACAAGATAGTGTCCAGGGTCTGCGGGTGAGGTTTAATCGAGGTCCTCCTGCATGCAGTGCTGGGGTAAATCCGAATTCCCCTCAGATGCTCCCCCTATGTGCATTTGTAAGAGTGCATCTCGGGACGAAGTTCTTTCTCATTTGGTTCTTTTTTTTTATTGTGAAAATACTGTACAGAGGGGTTACAATTACATGGGCAAGATAATGAGTACATTTCTTATCAAGCATTGTAGCCTCATTTGGTTCTTTTTCCTGTGACAGCTATCCTCTGAAAATTAATACTAAGTTACAAAGGAGATGTTGTCACTGCTTTGCAAATATTAATGTTAGGAATGTCGGGTTTAGCCAGATGCTGGTGATTCATGCCTGTAATCCAAGCTGCTTAGGAGGTTGAGATTTGAAGACTGAAGTTCAAAGCCAACTCCAGCAGGAAAGTCCTTAAGACTCTTCCAATTCACCACCAACAAAGCTGAAAGTGAAGCTGTGGCTTAATTGGTAGAGTACCTGCCTTCAACATAAAGCTAAGGGACATTACTCAGGCCCTAGCCCCAACACACACACACACACACACACACACACACACACACACACACACACACGTCAAATTTGACTGTTTTAAATACTGAAAACCAGCACATGTTATCTTCGAAATGAAAGAAAGGTAGAGCATCATTTGGGGGTATCATTCTCTTTCTATAAAAGTAGTAATTTTTCTAGACCCCGAGCTTGTGCGCCATTTCATGAGATTAAACCTAAAGCCATAATGATGGATGACTTTTGTTGCTGAACCCAAGTTTATTATGAAAAATACAGACAGCCACAAGAGTCAGGGGAAAATTGCTTAAATTTTTGATATATTAGTTCTAAAGGAAAATTGAACCTATTCAGTTTCTTTCGCTCCTTGTAATTTTGCTGAAGTTCTAATAGAAAGAAATAACCTTAGATTGTAGTAAAGAAACATAGTCCCTTGCAAGAAATTGTGTGAATATTTTTTCAAGAGAGAAAAGGAAAAAACTGTGTCTTACCAAAATAAGTCTTTTTAAATTATATTTTTATTATCTTTACATAGTTGAACAAATGGGTTACAATTCAACATGTCAGTTTATAATCATCTTGAAAAATCATCTTTGTTTTCCAATTTTTAGACTGAAAAAAAAAGATTTCTTTCCTGCCAACGTATCAGTAACATTAGAAATCAGGATAATACAGATAAAGAAAATGTGCTCAGATTTAACTGTGTTTTAAAAGCCTCACTTCTTTCTCGAATCTTAGAAGTAGAAACCAATACTTTTTGTTTCCTTGATCTCTTTTGCTTCCTTTAAGTGTCCTTCAGGGGAGGCCTGTGTTAACAGTAAAATCACTCAGTGACTGTCAACAGAAGGTAATGAGTAGCTGCCCTGGATAATTAGTTTTTTGAGTAATTATATATCTTCAAGCTTTTCTTGAGAAAATTAAAAATACTTTGAGGTAGTCAAATTACATGCTGAGGAACAGAGAGCTCTCAAGTGTGAGAGAGGATGAAAGTAGTGCTCGAGTAACCAGTGAAAATGTGAAATAAGGAACGGGGGATGAGCAGGACCATCGGGTGTCATACAGAGTCGCCTGGTCCTGTTGTGGTGTTTACTACCATGCTGCCATCTGCAATGCAGTACTTGGTTTGAAATGAATTGGGGAAGTGTTGTGATTATAACAGAGCTATTGAGCCATAAGGATCATGAATTCTTGTCTTGGTGGTACAAAGGAGAACAGGGAAGTGGTCCTTTTTGTCTGTAAAGCTAATGGCTGAGAAAGAGATCGGATTATGGACAAGGAAGTCAGAAAAGGTTTGCCAAGCCAAATGTTTTACCTAGTCTGCTACTTTATAACTAAAAGATACATTATTGCCATTTTCAGGAAATAATTTATGAACCAGAAAAGTATCAACTTATAGTTGATACAGGAAGTTTAGAGTATAGAAAGCTTGAAGAATTCTTTAATGTAGGATGACTCATAGATTATTGGTTTATGGTGTGCTGAATATTGGTTTATGATGAGTTAGGAAGAAAGTATGGATGCCGTAAAATGCAGTCATTAACTTCTGAGGTTGTTACTAGAAGGAATGTACTGTCTCAGAGACCAATACATGGGGTACATGGGATACCCAGAGCATGAAGTTAACCTGTGTGACTCTTCACATATTCTACTTTAATTCTTTTTCTCTTATCTATAAATCGTTTCATGTGAGACAGATTATTATCTTAGCCCATAGCATTTTTCTTAAGCTATTCAGGTGCACCTCTGGTTGAGTAGTTTCAGTACTCATGGTTGCATGTAGTAATCCCAACGTGACCTTAGAAGAAAATAGGATACTCTTCTCAACTTGCTCATTGATGGATCTCTTCTAGAAAAGTTTTTTGAAATGAAGAAAGGACAATGTAAAGATGCCCTAGAAATTTACAAGCGATTTCTCACAAGGATGACGCGAGTGTCCGAATTTCTCAAGGTTGCCGAGGTGAGTAATAGCTTTTGTGGGAATTTGATTTAAAAGCTCTTAGCTCATGTGTGTGTATAATATATAATCTGGCAAGACCTCTGCCACTGGGAGCTGTCGAATGCTCTCCAGTCAGGTGAGCATTCTGCCTTTAATGAACGTTCCACAGCTCAGAAGCTAGTTGCTGCCCAGCTAATGAAAGAGCGGTTCACTCTTAAATTCCATCTGATGTCTATTTTCTGTTACAAGAAAGTGCTTCTTTTTATTGAACCCTTGGTTTTTCTCTAGAAAAGTTTATGCTTTCGTTCTTAATGTGTGTGTGTGTTCTAAATTCTGACCCTCCATCCAGTACTGGTGACCTTAAATACAATGAAAGAGGAAAACAAATTATAATTCTTTTTAAAAAGCTTGTAAATTGTTTCTGAAGGGTATTTAGACTTAATTACTTCATGACCATACAGCTTTTGTTTCTATGGTTATCTGCAAGAGGATAAAACCTGATCGTGGCTTCACATTGATACTGGCAATATTGGCATTGTTGATGTAGTGTGTTGACAGGATCACCAGTGGGATTTATCCTATATAGCAACCGACCAATTTCGATTTTGAAAATACAATATAAAGACAATCACTTAATAAATACAATTTCGAAAGTACTACAGTACATATATTATCTTTCAAATTTCATTAATTCACAGAAGTAATAATTTTAGCATCCAAACTTGAGACCCACAAACTATCACTAAATGAAAATTCTTGAGCTTTGCCACATATGACATGTAGTCAGAATAAAGATTTCCCTTTGCTATAATAAGGCAAATAAATGTAGGCACTGGCTTAAATAAAAAACAATAAATGAATAATAATAAATATATTATGCTTATAGGTATGCTCATAGGTATTTTCTAATGGTTATTGAGAACCATAGATTGTCTTTTTGGGAAAGAATAGAATTGCTCACATGTGTTTTCCTTTGCTCTATATGGGTTTTATTGTTTGTATTTGGTATGATTGCTCCCGTGGTTTAAGTATAGTTATCAAGGTAGCCTGATAAAAGTTGCTGAATTCTTTCTGGGAAAGGATTGGTTATGTCCAGACACTCAGCACAGAAGATTACTTCATATTCCCCTACCCACCCCAGGTTGCCTGCTCCTGGTTTTCCCCTGAGTTGGTGTACATGAGCCAGAAGCTGACAGCTGACAGAGACCTGGTTCTCTAATCGACATCACATGGGCACTGACACATAAATTTTGATTTCATGGCTGATGTCATGCACTCGTTAGTACATGCCACATTGACACCATTGGGAACCATGCAGAAATTGCTTCTCATTTTAAGAATGCCTTAAAACAACTGAATATAAGTATTGTATTTTTATTTGAACATTGTGAATAAAACTTCTGCTTAAATGTTTTAAGTTATCTTTAAGTAGTTATACAAAGGGATGTCACTTCAGCATGTCAGTTGATGAGTACAGTGCATCTTGATCAGTGGAAGACTTTTTATAGCATAGGTGATAATTTGAAGGAATCATTTTATTAAACATTTAAACCACAGTGGGATATTCCTAATCACTTGTGTTTCCTTTCATATTTAAATTGCATTATCTACCATTTGAACATATGGCTTTAAGGCAACATTGAATGGTTTGGTTATGATTGGTTAAGATAGAAACTGTTCAACAAATTTATAGATCCTCTGTCTTTCCAAACAATACTCATGCCGTATTCATACGTATGGCTTACCCTTTATAGCTAAGATGCAGTCTAAAGAGATTTTTTTAAATATCTCTACACCACCATTTTATTTTTACAGAAATGGGACTGGAACTGGTGCTCAGAAGTAGAGTGATATCTAGCATGTATGAGACTCTGGGTTAGATTCACAGAACCAGAAAACCAAACCACCAATACAGACACATTGGCTACTTGGAAAATATTAATAATAAATTGTCCATCTTATAGACTTGTTGAAAAATTTCGTGGAAATACTCAAATTTTCCAGAGGCAGGAAACTTACTGTGTCTTAGATTCTTATATTCAAGTTTCCTTAGGCAGAAACAGCTGAAATGTTGTAAAAGGGTTGCTTTATAGGTAGGCATTTCTGCTAAACAGTTTTCCTTTTATAGAAGCAAGTTATTCTTAGTTTACTATTCCCAGCTGAGTATCAGACTTGTAGGCGTTATATCTCCCTGAATACTGGCGGACAAAAAGTGGTGAGATTTATACCTCTCATTTCCCCTCTGTCATTGGTTGCCTTGTGATTCAGAAGTTCAGAGCGGTGAAAATACAACATTAACCAGAGAGAGAGAGAGAGAAGCTAGTGCTCTACCACTTGAACCACAGCCTCACTTGTGACTCATCTTTTTGGGTAGTTCAGTGGAGATAAGAGTTTCACAGACTTGGTTTCTCCAGGCTGGCTTTTAACCATGATCTTCAGATCTCAGCCTCCTGAGCAGCTAGAATTACAGTTGTCACCCACTGCCCTGCCCAGTTTCTAGATTTTTGACTGGTTATGGACAATACTTTCAAATTTTATGCTTCAATGTCTTTTCATTTGTTTCTGGCTTCCAGTAAAATTCTAGGTATTTGTTATAACCATACTGTTGAAATCATTTTTCTAGTCTATTGAGTAGGAAACTGCATAAGGGATATAGGATATATGGTATTATATACATTTATATAAACATATATAAATAAAGAGAATTCTTTTACATCAATATTTAGCTGCAGTTTTAACAGCTGTCAATGAGCTTCCACGTTGGTTAATTTTGGGGTACCAAAAATTTGAAAAATTTTTTAAATCCCCCTTACTTGGGAGATGGGAAAGAAAGAAGGGATGACATTGATCAAGATGTATTGTGTCTCAAATTGCTATGTCAAACAGAAACCCTTTTGTGTGCATGCCTAAAGATAATTTAAAAATAAAAAACAAAAATCCCATTTAGTAATTTTTTATTTTTTTTAATCCACAGCAAGTTGGTATTGATAAAGGGGACATCCCCGACCTCACTCAGGTAAGTGACTCCACTTAGAAGAGTCAGCACACATGCATTCATTCTCTGAGTAGAACCAGAGATGGGCAGACTCTTGCAAGTTTGTGATTGAATTTTAATCCATCGACCAGTCTCTTAGAAATTATTCTATCTTACTAATTTTTACGTACTGTCTATTGACTATATTTTTGGAGGTAATAGGCAGATTTTCTTGTCTGAAATCTGAGGTCTTCTCATTGTTGAACTTGAATCAAAAGAAAGCCTGGAATGATGTTATTAAAAGGGCCTGAGGTCTAGCTCTGGCTCCTCATAGACATAAGAACTGTCTCCGTACTTGTGCCTGTAGTTTTCACCATATCCCTGAAATGGAGGAGGGACGTGAAGAGCAAAACCTGAATCACAATTCATTTGTATTCATTCTGCTTCCTTTTGAAGAGGAGGGATCTCTCTATATGAAAGAGTATTTTTTAGAAGACATGGTAGAAGATGAGTTATTTTTCTGGGGCTGGTCTAGTAATGACAACATCCCAAAAACTTCCTTACCAGCTCTTCTATCTATCAAGCGTATACTGCAGAGCTCCTCTTATACAATCACTGCCGTCACAGATCGGCACGCACACCCGTCCTGTGAGCCTCTCACAGCGGAAGGAGCTGCTCCTGTGTAACCAGATGCAATGGCAAATGTCTGTCCTGAACTCAACAGATCCTTTGACTAGATGGTGGTAAAAAGGTAGAAGAGAATTAGAGCTACCACCTGGTATACTAATGCTGAATATATTCACACACATAGATATTCATGTATAAGAATCTCTTTATAAACTGAGATTCACTGTAATAAAGAAAATGGTCAACTCCTCTGTATGGTATTCTCACAATTTAAAAAAAAAGGAAATGGTCACAATATAATTTCCCACTTTTTAAAAGTGGTATGTTTCAAAATTTCTCTTGTATTTACAGTACATTGGGATATTATACATCTAAAGTAATGTTAATCTTTCAATTTTTCTTAACCATTATAGAAATCCAATGAGCTGGTCTTCTAAATTTGTGTTAATGACATAGAAGATATTGAAAATTATTCATGCATAAAATTCAGACAGCAGTTCAGAACATGATAGAATTGTATATTGTTCTAATTGAAAAATTGGTAAATATTACCTTTATAATAGCAGTTAAAAAATTGGGAAATAGCTTGTAATATTATGATAACCAGAATATTAGTTTCAATGTGTTGGCTCCTACTTGAAAATACTAATATCTGAGTGCACAGCTGGATCAGGTACTGGTATCATTTGAGTATAACTAAGATTCAATTACATGAAAGATTTAGAAATCAATTTATTACAGGTAGATTTATCTTTATGATCTTAAATATTATAATAACATAAAAGCAAATAAGATAATTTTCTTCATTTTCCATAAATCACAAATATATATATGTATATATTTTTGCTAAATATCCTGGATGACATATAAGTGTTTACTTTTATGAGGTGGATATTAATAGATTTTAGAAGCAGCAAGTCATCTTTCTTTTTACACTCTGCACAGCCCTCACTTTGAGATAAGTGAGAAACGAGGTATTTTCAAGCCTGGCATTCAGGTAGGAGCAGGTGCTTGTTTAAGACTGTGCAGTCTGAACTCTAGGAAAGATTTAAGGGGCTGTTTAAGGAGCTCTTCATTTCCCCAATTCAGAAATGATGTCATTGAAAGATTCATGTCCTTGGGTTTAATTTTTAGTCGTCGTATATTTATTGCAACTTTCATAATCCTAAGAATTTCACAAACAGCTGGGCACCAGTGGCTCCAGTTTAGGAGGCTGGGATCTGAAGATCAAGGTTTGAAGCCAGGGCGGCAATGATCTTGAGACTCTTACCTCCAGTTAACCACCAAAAAAAAAAAAGCTGGAAGTAGAGCTGTGGTTCAAGTAATAGAGCACTAGCCTTGAGCAAACAAAACAAAACAAAACAAAACTCTGGGACAACACTCGGGCCCTGAGTTCAAGCCCCAGGTCCAGCACAAAAGAAATAATAATTTCAGCTATATGCTTTCATGATTTGGGACGCATACTTTACCCTCAAAGAAATAAAACCGTGCCCTGGATCTAATGGAGAGCTGTCCTGTGATAGAGATTTATTAGAATCTGTTGGCCCTGCTGGCTTCTGCTTCTTTTGACTTAGAGCTAGGTGAGGTTCCAAATTCACATTTCTTTCTTTTTTTTTTTTAGTGATAGTGCTATTATCTTTAAAGACTTACAATTAACAAATCAGTTTCTGAATACAAGGCTTCCTGACCCTTCCCGCTCCCTGCTCCAACTCCTCCATGCATCTCCCATCCTCTCCAATGCACCCACATTCCTCGTGATCATTTCGTTGGACTCTGAGTGAATTTTCTAAGGAATGACACTGTTTCTATTCTCCCCTGCCGATACCACACACTCGTGTACACTTGCATACCACCTAGTACATGTTTACTTATATATTTATCACATTTATCTTCAATTTCCCTCATTAAAAACCTCTCTAGTTAGGTTTCTCTTGTAGACATTTCAGTTCCAGTGCAGTAGTACGTTGTGGCTCTGTAGGCCATTTGTGGCTTCTTGTGGGATCATTAGCAACAGACAGCTAGGCACCCCCCCCCATAATTGTTCCTTAGAGCCCCTTCCCTAGGTCTAAGCTAGAGAATTAAGCCCACTAGGACAAGTCTGAGCCGCAAAGCAAAACAGTCTGGGCATCATCATCTATTAGATCACGTTAGCATTAACCTGGAGATGGGGCCTGCATAGCAGGCTGGGTGGACCCCATTTAACTCCCTCAGATTAGGTTCTGTTGTATCTAAGGCTCCTCCCTGGCTCACCTGGCATGGAATCTAGCCACAGTGATAGACAGAAATACTTGGGGAAAGAGAAACAGAGGGGAGTCTAGTGAGCATGAGGTCAGCCCAGTGACTGAGTGAGGGCAGAAAGGAGATAGCTCACCCAGACAAGAACGCCATTCCTCACACAGCAAATTGGAAGAGGGATTCAGCATGTACCTTTTATGTTAAAGAATGCGTTATTATGAGTATGGCTATCTGTAGCCCTGTTCAACTGTGCATATAAAATAATCACAGTTTACATGACATATAATGAAACATTCAAAAGATCTTTAAATTTTGTATTTAGAAGTCAACATGGTATCAGGGGTGAAATATTTCTGCTCAGCACATCAAATAATTTCTTAGACATACTGATCAAAATTTTGAATGATCTATTAATTGCTTTGTTTCTATTTGATTTTAATGATGCTTTATCTAAGTCACTTTAAACTTAAATTATCTAAAGCATCTACATTGGATATGGGTGCTTTCATTCTGATTCCTGGCGTGCAATCAGCTATGAATTATTTCAAGAAAAGAATTGGGTTTTGTGTGTGTGTGTGTGTGTGTGTGTGTGTGTGTGTGTGTGTGTGTGTTCCAAATTTTAAATATATCCATTAATAAAAACTACCATAGGTTTTGATGGCAGGAATTTTGGTTGACCTGAAATCTACTGGTAAAGAAAAGCCACCTGTTAAAGATTGGACCCCTTCTGCACGGGTAACCATGGCTCATTGCTGTCATCTCTTAGCCTCCTGGGTTGATGTCTTGTTTTTGGCTTGGGGTTTCTTCTGACTGATCTGTTGACTTTGCATTTTTAAATGCACAAGACAACACTTTGTTACCATAAACTACTCTTACAAGAGCAGAGGCATTCTGGAAGTTTTGCTACTTTGAAGTTTAGGAGATCATTGATGTTCACCTCCTGTCTCATGCCTTGATATTTTGTTTACTTGTAGGAACTTTAAGAGAGAGAATACTACCTTTTCCTGTTAGCTCATGTTTTTAATCTCTGTGATTATAAACACCATGTATTTTTCTGAAACAGTATTTTAAAGCTAGGTATACCAAAGAATTGCACTCTTTACATTGAAGTTCATATTCAGAGGACTCTAGTCTTCTAACCTGAAAGAAGTTCTATGACTTGAAAACATGAAAAGTTTGGGTTCATATATCCAGGCTTTCATTCCATCATCAAAATCCTCATCAATTCATCAGATACAAATTCATCGTAAAATGGTCAGGCCATTCTAGGCTTTTCTTATTCAGGTTACAATGTGCATTCATTAGTGAAGACACATTCTTTATAATGTAGAACCTACCTGAGAAAATTTTCCTTTATCTCTCCTACAAATTCATTTTTTTTTGGGTCCGGATGTGGGGCCTGAATTCTGGGCCTGGGCACTGTCCCTCAGCTCTTCAGCTCAAGGATAGGGCTCTACCACTTGAGCCACAGCGCCACTCCCGGCTTTTTTCTTATGTGGTGCTGAGGAATCGAACCCAGGGCCTCAGGCATGCAAGGCAAGCGCTCTACCACTGAGCCACCTTCCCAGCCCTACAAATTCATTTTTTAAATCCGAGTATAGGATGGGCATCAGTGGTTCATGCATGTAGTCTACACTCCGAAAGTAGAGGGAGAGAGAATCATGGTTCAAGGTCAGCCCAGGTAAAACTCCTCAGGACCCAGTGTCTGCCAGCAGCTGGGTATACACTTGTCATCCTGGCTACACAGCAGGCTGGGGTGGGAGAATGGCAGTTCAGGCCAGCCCAGACAACAGAAAAGCTGACCCTACCCAATAGAGAAAGCCGGGAACAATGGTACACACCTGTCATCCCAGCCACAAAGAGGGTGAGATCAGGCTAAACCCAGCAAAACACCAGAAATTACTGGAACAAAAAAAGAGGGCTAGAGACATAGGTCAATACTAAAATACCTGCCTAGATCACACAAAGCCCTGAGTTCAAACCCCACCACTGACAAATGATAGATAGATAGATAGATAGATAGATAGATAGATAGATAGATAGATAGATAGATAGATGTAGATAGATAGATAGGTAGATAGATAGAGATAGATAGATAAACGTATAATAATTTCCCTGAAATTCTTTCATTCTATAACTACGTGCTTTAGTTTACTTAACAATTTGCATTTATGGTGATTGTATACAAATTTATGTATGTAAAATTCTCATAAATGTTGAGTTTGATACTATTCCTAAGAAGAAAAATATAGTTCTGTGAGCTGACTTAACAGCACAGTTACTAGATTCCTTCAAAAATAGTTTTATAGGGCTGGGATGTAGCTCAGTGGCAAAGCGCTTGCCTACCAAGTGCAGCGTCCTGGGTTCGATCCCCAGTACCAAAAAAGAAAAGACAAAAAAATACAGTTAAAAAAACCCAAACAAAAAAAATAGTTTTATAGTGTTTTAAAAACTACAAAAGATTAATATATTAAAAAGAACAGTTATTATGAGTTAATATACCTGTAAATGTCCTTAGATGTTTCATTTGTGAAATATTTTTCTTTGAATGCCTGTGCTTTTGTTAATATCTTGTTGGAGTAAGACTATTTGAGAATGATAAAATAAATCTCTTAGACTGGTTGGAATATTTGTATGAACCTATTTTTCCAATATACAGTAAAATATCACTTTGTATTGCCTAAAATTTCATTTTTAGATTTCAGGTTTTTGTTTTTGTTTTCTCTCTGCTGGAGATTGAACTCAGGGCCTCAAGCTTGCTAGGCAGGCACTCTTACCACTGAACCATTCCTCCAGCCCTATATTTTACTTATAGAAACACTAAAAAACTTTTAAACAAAAGTTGAGCTATAGTAAATCTGCTAATACATAGTACTCTATTATAGCATTATTATATTTGCTAGGTACTGTATAGTATGTCTCTTAACTGAAGAACTCAATAATGAGAAAATGTGTGTGTGTGTGTGTGTGTGTGTGTGTGTGTGTGTGTCTGTGTCTGTGTCTGTGTCTGTGTCTGTGTCTGTGTACACACCAGTCCTGGGGCTTGAACTCAAAGCTTGGACATTGACCCAGAGCTTTTTGCTTAAGGCTAGTGCTCTCCACTTCTGACTTTTTGGGAGTTCATTGGCGATAAGAGTCCCACAGACTTTCCTGCCTGATTAACTTCAAACTGTGATCCTCAGATCTCAGCTTCCTGAGTATCTAGAATTACAGGTGTGACCGACCACTGATGCGTGGCCAGAAAAATCTTAATTTTTATCAACTATTAAAGTTGTGTTTTTCCCCCTCTGCTTTCACTTTTAAAAAATATGGTAACAATATTTTAGTCAGGCATTGTTAAAGTGAGATTTTACTATATTTTCACACAATTCTGTCCATTTGGACTGGGGTACAAGTAACTGTTCTATTTTCACTGTGTTTTGGGGGAAGGGGAGGGTGAACTTGACTCGAGTTTACTGCATGTAAGTAATGTCATAGTGGAAACCTGCCTGGCGTAACCTCTTCACTGAGACCATGCTGTGATGGTACTTGTTATGCAGTGGGGTTTGAGTGTGTTCAAGATGGACCTGTATGAGAGTCCATGGAATTGAATGAGTGCCAAGAGAATCCGGAATGAAATGACCTCCGAGGGTCAGGATCCACCCCTAGACTTCCACCATACAGAGTCTTGGTGATGTGCTGGTGTTGGCTTTAAATTAGAACAATGCAGACACTTATTCTCACTTTCTTATTGTAGGCTCCCAGCAGTCTTATGGAGACCCTTGAACAGCATCTAAATACATTAGAAGGAAAGAAACCTGGAAACAAGTACGCATTAGTTGTATATTCTAAGTAAGATAAGAAAAACTCAGGTTGCTGCTAGTCATGAGACTTGTCATGTACAGCTTACGCTTCTGCAGTTTCCGTGTGCGTGTTGTTGTCACTCTTCGGGGTTCCCTGGGGACCCCCTGAGCTGCCTGTCCAGTTACAACAGACTATATGAGCTCACACACCTGCAGGTAATGCAGCAAATCAGTCATGTTCTTGCCTTGAGTGAACCTGTTCATATGCGTATTGCCCATGAGAAGGAATTCATAAAGCAAAGAGAAAAGAGTTGTTCAGACTTAAAAATTAAAACTGCTATGGTTGGTGGTGATATATAAAAGCAATAATAATTTCACAAGTCTCCTTCACCAGCCTCAGTGGGGTTAAGAGCAAAGACCTCAAGTGCTTTCTAGAGTCCAATTTCTCCTTCCTTGAACCCTGAGCTGCGGCCAGCTGCTGACCTCCTATTCAGAGATCTCTTCCAGGGAGTGGCACCAAAGCAGGCTAAGTTGCATATTGTTGGATTTTTTTTCCCCCTTGGGAACTTGTATTTTGACCATTTTCCTTCACTGCCTGCAGAAAATGTCCAAGTTCTATACTTTTCCATCTCCCCAGTAGAAGTAAAGCTTGAGGCTTCCCAGTCTTGGTGTCTTGTTCAGACTTTGCTTCTGCTGACCTTGGGCCTGACCTTGTCCTGTGTCCTGGTGGAGGCCATGTCTGGCCCTTCCTTCTTCTTTCCCTCTTGAATCAGGAACTTTTTTTTTTTTTTTTGCCTTGGAAACTTTCAGGACTTTTTCTGGTTCCAAAGGTCAGGACCTAGTTTATACTTCATCTCAACGTGGACCGTAGCTTTTTCTGCAGTCAGTTGGAATGTGTTGTTGATGAGACCATGGCAGCTGCATGAACTGGGGGTCCGTCCTGACCCCACGTTGGATCGTGACAGCTCTGTCAACTTGGGACTTCTTCCAGGCCCTTCTTTAGAGCTTTATCTTATCATTTCCCTGTTCCTTTTTTTATTGTTTTTTCCTTAGGTAAATGTTATCTCTGTTGTTTTTTTTTTCAAGTTGGCATGTTCAGTGAGAGAGCACTGGGGACGGATCTGTTGCAGGCAGGGATGGCAGAGCTGCTTGGAGGGGTGGCTGGCAGGATCTCTCCAGGGTGCTGCCCAGCTTGTTACCCAACACAGCCCGGGATCTGCTCCTCATTTGGGGGTGGATGTGGATGGTCAGGTCATTGACGTGAAAATACATGAAATCACAATAGAACTCAATTGGCAGCTGCCCAGCGCCAATTCTTTTGGGGCCCACCTTCTTGCCGGGTATCTAGGAAGCCATATGAGTTGCTCATACAAGTGGAGGCAGAGAGCTGAGAAGCATCCTTGCTCCAGTGGTTAAAGTTCAGGAACTATGCAACAGCCCCTAGAAGCAGTCACCGCCTTCAGAGCACCACACTGTTCCCCCCCCCTACCCTGGGGTCCCCTGTACTCCAGGCAGGTCCATAATGAACGCTGGCTTCTTATCAAAGCTGCCTTTCAGCAGTCAAAGGCTAAATCAACCCCTTCCTAGCTGGCTTCTGTCCTCAACCCCAACTCAAAAAAAAAAAAAAGATCTCCATTTGCCCCCTTGTGGCTATTGTGAGGTGTTTCTAGAAAAATTATCCATCCTCATTTAAATTTAGTTGCATGTCTGGAGAAACAGAACAGAAATTCAGTAGCTTTTTCGTATGAATTATCTTCTTCTTAGAGTAATTTTTTCTCTCCTTTAAAACCATTTTATTTATTTTCTGATATGGCTGAAACCACATTTGAATTTGGCTTTTGCTACTCCCTGTTTCAAAAATATCTGAGCAAGCCAGGTGCTGTGGCTTATGTCTGTGATGCTGGCCACTCAGGAGACTGAGATCTGAGCATCAAGATTCCAAGCTGGCCTGGACAGAAAAGTCCATAAGACTCTTATCACCAATAAACTACTTTTTAAAAAAGCCAAAAATGGAGCTATGGTTCAAGTGGTAGAGTGTTAGCCTTGAGCAAAAGAAGCTCAGGGACAGTGCCCAGGCCCAGCACACACACACACACACACACACACACACACACACACACACACGCAAAATGTGTATATATGGGTATGGATATATACATAGAAAGATGCGCTATAGTAGTTAACTATTTTTTCTCTGTATATTTGTGCTTACCTGGGAACTTAAGTGAAGGGTGAGTACTATGTTGAGTAATTACTAAAAATGCAACAGGAACACCTGTTAGTATCCCACATTTGGTATTTGAACATTTTTGTTCATGTGTATCTGTTTTAACATTACACTTTATTTTTGTCTCCTAAAGTGACTGGCATAAATAGTTTTATTTTCCTTTGGTCTTCTCAGATCACAACTAATAAGCTATTTTAGGATAAACATTCCTCTGGATCTTAGAAATCAAAGATTTTTCGTCTGTCGAGTGAGCAGAACGAAGTCCCTGTGAGATAACAGAAGTGTTAACAGGCAATTTTCTAAAGAAAATCATTTGCAGTTGTCCTTTGTCAGCAAGTAGCATTATAACATTAATCGAGCCTCTATTCACATATAGAATGAAGCATTTGCAAATATCGGCTATGGAAAGCATGTACATTCTTTAGTACTTGTGTCCAGGATGATTACGTTTTAAATTGTATGCAATGCTACATGACAAACCTTGTATATTGTCTGTTTCTGTGGTTTCACAAGGTAAAAGACCAATATATTTTATTCTGTATGTGAGTATTCTTAGGTGTTGAGAGTATAGGAAACCCAAAATAAGTCATTTGTATTGAAATTATTTAGAAGTTAGACAATTTTTTTACATATCTATTTTTTCTGGCTAGCATTTATACTTAAAACCATGATTATTGTTTTGAATCAAATAAGAAATAACAAAATTTCCTCTTTTGACAGCTGACAGATACCATATTAAAAGAAAAATTACCATTTGCTATGATCATAGCAAAAATAAAAAAAATCCGTGGATCTGTGCTGTGGCTTGTTATAGAATTTAGAGTAGATTGCCAGACGTAAACATTTTGTAGAGTTTTCCTAGAGAAACTAGTTTTCTCTAGGCAAAATTCTAACTAGAAGTATTGTCTATATATAAAATATCATAGTCTTTTCTTTCATAAAGAACAATGACCAGGGCTGGGAAGGTGGCTCAGGGGTAGTGTGCTTGCCTTGCATGCATGAGGCCCTGGGTTTGATTCCTCAGCACCACATAAGCAGAACAAGCCAGAAGCGGTGCTGTGGCTCAAGTGATAGAGCGCTAGCCTTGAGCTGAAGGGCTGGGGACAGCACCCAGGCCCAGAGTTCAAGCCCCATGACCAAAAAAAAAAAAAAAAAGACCAACAGTAAGACCGAAAATTAAGCAAGAAACATGTAAGAAGCAACCATCTATGTGTTGTGTAAAAGAGAAATGAACAAATGTTCTAGGCACCTGGTGTTTTCAGTGGGTCAGGCTAGACTGGGCAGCAGACAGACTCGAGCAGTCCTGAAGTCACCAGGAAGTAATAATACAACTTGGACAAGGTGTCCACCTCTCTGACCTATGAGCAGTGCCCTCGATTTCAATCCATGGTTAGTGGTGCTCTCTAAAGCGATAGTCCCTAATATAAATCATGACAAAGACCAGATCTGTTCCCTGGAAACAGAGGTCTTGACAGCTTAGTTGAAGAGAAACCATTAGTTGAAGACTAATGGTTAGTGTGTTGCCTTCAAAATGACATTTATATACACTCACTTAACATTTCAAATAATACAAGAATAATAGAGAAAATGCCTAGAGCTATATAAAGTGCTAGGGGCATAAAACAAAGGAATGAAGCCAGGTGTTGGTGGCTCCTGCCTGTAATCCGAGCTACTCCACAGGCTGAAATCTAAGGATCGCTGTTCAAAGCCAGCCTCCCAAAAAACTGGAAGTAGAGCTATGGCTCCAGTGGTAGAGCACTAGCCTTGAGCAGACTACCTAAGGCCCTGCATTCAAGCCCCAGTGCTGGCACAGAAAGAGGGAAGGAGGGATGAATTTTTTCCTTAGTATCCAGTTGTGAAGGTAGGTAGTAAGCCAGTCAGAATGCAGTAAGTGGACAATAGCTCAACCACAATGGTAGGAGATTTGCTTGTGTCTACTTGTCCCCCCGGGATTACTATAAATATCATTTAGTATTAGCACTCTTGAAGAAGTTGGCAAATTAATTGCTGTGTCAATTATGACTTTTTATACACTGCTCTGTATTCTTTTATAGCAGGATAGCTCAGTGCTGTTGGTTTTACCATGCTATATTCTTGCTATAGGATAGAAAATGCATCAAAATATGTTTTGGAAGTGCTTACTTTTTCTCAATTATCTTTCTCAATTCTTTGTTTCTCATTGTTTTCATATGGCAAAGAATTGATTTCTGAAACTTACTCGAGAAATTGATTGATTGTAACAATGGTTTTCATGATTTGTTGGTCTTGCTTTTTGAAGAGATTAGGTTATTATTTTCTTGGGTTTTTATCTAAACTTAGCTCTCCATTCCATAAATGAAAAGGAGAAATGACAGAAGTAGAGAAATTGTAAGCCGAAACCTCATGCAAGAATTTTCAACTTGATTCAGTACTTGATTTTTAGGTTCTTATTTTTCTGCCACTACAGAGAATATGAAATTCCTTTTTCTCAGTAGTAAATCCTTGCAAATGAGCAGTTAAATAGAAACATGTGCTTCCTATTGAACCACATTGTAATGACTTCCTGCTGACTTTGATTTGCTACTGCTACTGAGAGGAATGGAAACCCCTTTTGCTCATTGTTTCATTATTCATTGTTCCACCAACTCAAATGCACAGAATGTAAACTGTTCAGGTCAAGCATTTGGGAGACATATGCAAAGCATTTTAACATCTGATGATGTCCTATCAAACTGAAGTGCTTCTGCAAGGGATGGATGGAAACTTGGCTCAGATGTTCTCATATTGTCTTTTAGGTCTGGTGCTCCCTCTCCATTAAGTAAGGTAAGTCTGTTTTCTATTGGATTTTTTTAACTCTTTGAATACAGATCAGTGGCATCAAGTATATCCATATTGCTGCATATGGAATCATCACACCATGCCTTTCCAGAATTTTCCATCTTCCATGCTCCTCAACAGTAGTTTCCCATTCCTGACTTCCAGTCCTGACAAACCACAACTTACTTTTTGTCCCTAAGATTTGATTATTCTAGGTACCTCACATAAGCAGACTCAAACAGCATCTCTCCTTTTGTGATTTTACTCAATGTATCTCCAAGGGCCAGGGGTATTGTGGCACTGTCCCAGGTTACCTTCCTGGACCATAGTTCCCAAGTCCTTCTGCCTTCCCCACACACACACTTCATTGTTTTCCACCTTTTGTGTTATAAGCATGAGTGGGAAACGGATCTGTTTTAGACCCACCCTTCAATTCTTTGGTCTTTATACAAAGAAGTAGAATTGCTGGGTCGTATGAATTAAATTTTCAGAGAAAAGGTGAGTTACATTTTTATGTATTAGTTCCTCAGTCCAGTGGAGCTTATTAGATGTCTTCTAGGCCTCCGTTGGACTTGTTTCTAAAGTAGGAAACATTTTTTGTGCCTTCATATTTACAAATAAAAACAAGTATATCAGTATATCAAAGTTTATCAGTATATCAAAGCCTTTCACATATGCAGAGTCACAACCCATAAGAAAGGTCAGACACGAGATCTTGTGGTTGCATTGAGGGAGAAGAAACTGTTAACTAGGCACATTTCCTTTATTTTTTTTTGGGGGGGGGTCCAGTCTGGGGCCTAAGCTCTGGGCCTGGCTGCTGTCCCTCAGCTTCTTCAGCTCAAGGCTAGCACTCTACCATTTGAGCCACAGCGCCACTGTCGGCTTTTTTTTTCTGCTTATGTGGTACTGAGGAATCGAACCCAGGGCCTCATGCATGCAAGGCAAACGCTCTATCACTGAGCCACCTTCCCAGCCCATGTGTCCTTTTCAAAGCCTGCCTGCTAGATCTGCTAGAATAATCGGAATCTTTTTTTTTTAACTTCCATGTCTCTTTTGAGACACACTGAGGATGGATTGGGCTGTGAGTGAGAGAACATTTCCTTCCATAGATCCGTCATTCACATCTGCCATTGTATTTTCCAGGCAATCATGGGCCAGGTGTGTTCCTCCCTCACGTGATCGCTGTCACTACAGAGGGTGGTGACAACAGGGCCGGTGACTCTCAGGCATTGCAGGCTGTGCCAGGGCCTGGCTGTACTGCCTGCCTATGGAGTCCCACAGGAGTCAACCCCATAGAACTCTGTCATGAAGCTCAATAAACAAATACGCAGAAAGCTTTCTGGCTGTTCTGAGAGAAAGCCACACCTGAAATCATTAACAGGTGTGTTAAAACCATCCTCTGGGCTCATCTGCTTCCACCTTCTGGCCGAAGAAAGTGCTGCTGATGTTTTTTTTTTTTTTTTTATAATATTAGGGTTACTTGTCTTCTGTTTTCCTAACTCTTGTGTCTCCTCAGAGATTTTGTGGCATTTGAAAGGGCTTTTATAGCCTGGCATGTCTGTGTTGGTGGTGATCGTTTGCCATTGAAGTCTCAGTGTGGTTTTATACCGTCACTACTTCTGGATTTATTTAGATATATTGGTTAGGAATAAAAGTCATTTTTGGAGGACTTGCTCATGGCTACAATGGGTAATGTACAGGTAACTTCAGCTAGTTTTTTTTTCAATTCTGTATTCCATTTGGATCTGAATTTTTGTTGACGAGAGAGGCAATTTCCTGAGTGATCATGTTCAAACTGTTCATGGGTTTGTCTTGAAACACTGAGTGCTTAATAATTGTCTATCTGTTGAATTTTTACTTCCTGATTTGTTATACTCATGGATGAGTAAACAGACAAATACTATGGAATTTGAAAGTTTCCATACATTTTTTTCTTTAAGCTCTTCTTTAAAATTATTTGTTTAAAACTTCCTTTAAAAGCCAGGTGCCGATGGCTCATACCTGTAATCCTAGTTACTCAGAGGCCAAGATACAAGGATTGAAGTTCAAAGCCAGCCAGAGCAGGGAAGTCCATGAGACTGTTATCTTCATTTGACCACCAAAAACCAGAAGCGGAGCTATGGCTCAATTAGTAGTGTACTAGCACTAAGTAAAAGAAGCTCAGGGACAGCACCCAGGTCCTAAGTTCAAGCCACAGGACTGACACAAGAAAAACAACAACAACAACAAAACTTCCTTTAAATCTGTTTTGTTGGAAATCACATGTCTAATTAGGGTGGCAACTTATAGCCTTTCCTAGTTACTCTAGTTACTGTTGTATCTTTCTTGTTGTTATAGCTCATTTCCCCTTATAGACCCTAACCAGGAGTATACTGTTTTGAAATGTTCCAGTAATATTTCTCTTCTAAATACATGGAAAATTAAATGTAGTCTGTAAAATGGAATTTGGATGCATACTACACAAAATTTATAGTTTGTTAATGTATTAGTTGAACATAAACTTTTAAAAATTGGGGGAGAGCCGGGTACCAGTGGCTCACATCTGTAATCCAAGCTACTCAGGAGGCTGAGATCTGAGGATTGCATTTCTAAACTAGCCTGGGCAGACAAATCAAGGGAGTCTCATCTCCAATGAACCATCAAAAAGCTGGCAGTGGAGGTATGGATTATGTGGTAAGGTGACAGCCTTGAACGGAAAAAGCTACGCAAGTTTAAGACCCAAGACTGGCACCAAAAAAAAAAAGAAAAGAAAAGAAAAGAGAAAATTCCAGGAAAACAAGGTTTAAGTTTTATTTCATTAATTATGTTTTCCCCACTCTTAGCAGGGATTAGATATAGACACAGTATCTTCAAGCTGCCGTCTAGTAAGACTTTCCCTGAAGTCTAGTTAGGACGAAAAGTGAGGAAATGGCCCTGATTTTATAGCAGTTTTTATAGGTGATCATTTTCGACAGCTAGTAAGATCTTCCCAAGTCATTTAAAATTTACAAAGTACATACAGTTAGCTTTCATTCTAAGAGAATGCAAGTCGTTGCAACATTGGGCCAAATGCATTCTCAGATTTTTGTGTAAAACCTGAGGCAGGCTTTGTCCAATAAGGATGATTCATTACAGTTCTTAGTACTGTCCCTTGGCTTTTTTGCTCCAGGCTAATACTGTACCACATGAGCCACAGCTGCACTTCCAACTTTTTGGTGGTTATTTGGTGATCAAAAGTCTCCCAGACTTCTCCTGCTTGGGCTGGCTTTGAACTGCCATCCTCAGATGAACTCAGCTTCTTGAGCATCTAGGATTCCAGGCGTGAGCCACTGGCGCCTGGAGAGTCATTGGTCTGCAAAGCAAAAGATCTGCTCCTCTGTGCCCTATAGCCTGCGATCTGCCGTGATCACGTGTGTGCATCTTCTCTTACAGTCCTCCCCAGTCACCACTGCCACGTCGCCTAACTCCACACCAGCTAAAACCATCGACACGTCCCCGCCCGTCGATTTATTTGCAACGGCATCTGCAGCTGTGCCCGTCAGGTTAGTCTGTTATCTGTGGCCATCAGCTGTCAGCTGTCTGTTACTGTATGTGGGGCAGGCTTGGGGTTTACTGCTAGGGTCTGCACACAGAGGTTTTCTTCAGATGAACTCTGGCTCTAATTAGATGGATTGAGGCAGAGTCATTTTTTTGCTCCACAAAGGTAAGTTCATTGACCCACGGGATCACAAGAACGCCCTGGCCTGTGGGAAAGGCCTTCCCACGTGCACATTGAGCCCCGTGGAAGGACGGCGCTCTTCTGATTGGCTGACTTGGACATCTTCTACTAAACTCTTCGCTTGGGACATGTCAAGGTGTTTTGAAAGGCTTTCAGAGAAAACATACTTTGTGCTGTAGGCGGATGTGCTGGCGTGCTCAAGGAACTCAAACTCTGGTGGCTGGAAGAGGCCTTTGGGGGTGTTTTTAGGCCACTTTTAGAGCACCTGTCCACGAGGGCCATTTGGAGGCAGGTGGGGACAGAGGGCTGTGCAAATGTCCCAGGATTGCTTAGGAAGGATGAGGACTCCCTGGGGTTCTTTGCCTTCAGAGGATTCTGGCCTCTCTTTCCGTGATCTGTGACTCTGTTTATGAAAGCCTTTGTTTAGAGATGTGGATCTTGAACTGTGAGAGAAAGCCGTGTGTGTGTGTACTGCTCATGGAGTGCTTTGGTCACCGTTCATAGAGCCAACTTCACAACAGCCAGCCCAGGCTGGAGATGAGCCCAGGGCTTCGTGGCTGACAGGCAAGCATGCCACTACTGAGCTGTACCTCCAGCCCCTGACTCAACTAATACTCTTGACAATGAATATGCCCTCTTTTCTGTTCCTCCATCCAGCTATGGTTATGAAAAGGACATTGAAACCAGTCACTTTCAGGGGTTTTGAAATGGCTTTTGAAAGTAGCAGTGTCGTTTCTTCAAAAGTATGTTACTTGGCAATCCAGGAACCAGAGGCTCATGCCTGTAATCCTAGGTACTCAGGAGGCTGAGATCTGGAGAATTGTGATTTGCAGCCTGCCAAAGCAGAAAAGTGCATGAGATGTCATCTCTAAAATAATCCAAAAGAGTCTTAAGCTCCCAGTTCCTGCTAGGGGAGCAGGAAATGTTGCTGTCTGCCATTTCTCCCTATTTAATTCTTGCTTTATGAAAATGATTGGCTTACTAAAACTTTTTAAAGTAAAATAACCCACAAAAACCGGGGCTGTAGTATGGCTTGTGTGATAGTGTACCCATCTAACAAGCATGAGGCCCTGAGTTCAAACCCCAAGACTGTATCACTCAGAAATAATACGTATTTAAAAGAAGATAAAGTGGCTTCTTATGAAGACAAATGGAGAGCTGGAGGCTCTATAATTGAGTGCCTCATGTGGTAAGCTCCACTCCGAGTTCATCTGTGAATTCAGTGAGGGTCCTGTTAAACGAAGACTTTGCTGCGGTAACATGAGAATAAGCCTGCCATCCCACGTTTCTAAGAAGGAGCATGGACACAGAGAGTATGGAGCCCATATTCTAAGCAGGGAAACTTGGGCTTCTCTTTGGGACCTATGCAGATAAACAAACTTTGATCAGCACACCCACAGCTGAGAAAGAAACTGCAGCAGTCATTTTAGATGCGTCCTCTCACAGGCAAACTTGATGTCATTAGTATCATTAGTATAATTAGGAAAAAGGTAAGATAGCAATTATTTAGTATTCTTTGGTCCATAATGTTTTTTTCTCAAATGTAATTTTCCTACACACACACAAAAATAGTTTGAAAATGAAGAAAAGATAACCTGAAGGTTACGATGCTCATTTTCCTATAGAAGATGGCCCCGGGTTCAAATCCAGCTCACTCTCTGCTTTTTTTCCCTGATGTTTTGCTGGCGTGAAGTCGCCCTCCCCCGGGAGCCCCAGCCCTACAGTGCTATGCTGCTGTACTTCCCAAAACACTAGTCTTCCATGAGACTTGAGATATCCCAAGCCCCTGATCTTGTCTGTGTACACCTTGTCAAACAGTTTTACGCTGTGTCACATTTCCACCTCTGATTCTGAGGTTCCCTTCTGCTCAGTGCTTCAAAGCCATCGAGTGATCTCCTGGACCTCCAGCCAGCCTTCTCTTCCGGAGGAGCAGCGGCTGCAGCCCCTGCAGCACCACCGGCCGGCGGAGCCACGGCCTGGGGAGGTAAGTGGAGTTGGCCCTTACTCCACTCCACGAGTTCTCCTCTGGCTAGTGAGGCTGCTGCTTTCCTCTGAGCTGTCATGGTTGTATTTACCTTCTGGTTATTCCTCCCATCCCCCATGCTGTTAGAAAATGTGTAGAGAAAATACTGAGCATGGCATTTCCTGATTGAAATATATACTGCAGGTCAGGGGAGGCAGAGAATCTAGAGGACAGCTTGCATGTTCAGGTAGCCAATTGTTCTTACTTCAAAAGTTGGAAGAAAGGAAGTCTTTGCCTTGGTGATTCTAAACTTGCAGTGATGTTTGCAGTATGCCTCTGGACATTCACATCTACAACGTTGCATATTCCCGTGACTTTGTGAAGTGCTTAGAGACAGTACGTCTGATTTGATCTTGTCCGGGGTGACTCCTGGACCCATGTAGGCCACGCTGGGCTTTATCCACTGTGTTTGACTTCAGACAGTTCAAGTTGCTTCCTGCTGCATTGATTAAGTGAGCAGAATCATGTCTGACTGCTTGATTCCCGTCTGATTCATGGATCTCAGAAAAATCAGCCTCCTCTAGGTATTCAATGAAAATGCTTAATACTAGCATAAAATTAATTACTGCCTAAGCCTGGGAATTGCATGGCACTATTTTTAACACTAGGCCCTACAGCAGTGAACTATCAGGATAACATTTTCAGAAAGGCTAAGATGTGAAGCACACATAGATAAAAGACTTAGTAGCCAGTCATACAGTAAAGCTGGTGTAGAGTATTCTGAGGGATTTACTATATTTACAGGGACTTGAAAAGGAATATTAGAAGAAGATGGTCAGGTTAGATTCAAAACTGTTATGAGGGAAAAAAAAACATTGAGGATTTGTTTTTCAACTACCAGTATTACCCATCGCTAGCAGATAATAAGATCTGATTTAATATATCCTTTAATTGTATTATATTTTATATTATTTATTATGTATTAGCAATAAATAACGAAATCCAATGCAGTTACCTTGCCCAAAATAATTAAATCATCCCTGGCTGGGTTTATTACAAGCACACCAGCATAAGATCTAGAGTCCACTCTGGTCGGGAGCTTGCTTTCTAGGAATTTCAGAGGCTGTTGCTCCAGGTGACTAAATGATGGCAAACCCGGGGCCAGAGATCACCACCCTGCTGCTGGTGCTTTGGGGTTCTGTGTGGAGCCTGTGTCTGCAGCTAGGACTGCTTGGCATAGAAATACAAAGGGCACCCACTGTCCCTCTGCTGGGCTTACCCAGTCCTTCCTGAGCCCGTCCTGTGCTGTGGGTCTCTTAATGCCATCAAGGGGAAAGGGATCTGGGAGGTGGACATGAATACAGAAATGCTGCTGTTTTATTTGGTGCTTTTATTTTTTTTGTCATGTTGGCCCTCCCCATGGCTGGGAAAGTCCTGGGAAAGAGAGAGAGCTGGGAAAGAGAGAGAGCTGGGAAAGAAGAGAGCTGGGAAAGAGAGAGCTGGGAAAGAGAGAGCTGAGAAAGAGAGAGAGCTGGGAAAGAGAAGAGAAGGAAAGAGAAAGAGAGTGAGGTGGGAAAGAGAAGAGCTGGGAAAGAGAAGAGAGCTGGGAAAGAGAAAGAGAAGGAAAAAGAGAGAGAGCTGGGAAAGAGGAGAGAGCTGGGAAAGAGAAAGAGAAGGAAAAAGAGAGAGAGAGCTGGGAAAGAGAAGAGAAGGAAAGAGAAGAGAATGAAAGAAAGAGAGCTGGGAAAGAGAGCTGGGAAAGAAAGAGAGCTGGGAAAGAGAAAGAGCTGGGAAAAAGAAGAGAGCTGGGAAAGAGAAGAGAATGAAAGAAAGAGAGAGCTGGGAAAGAGAGAGAGCTGGGAAAGAGAAGAGAGCTGGGAAAGAGAGAGAGCTGCGAAAGATAAAGAGAAGGAAAGAGAAAGAGAGAGAGCTGGGAAAGAGAAGAGAAGGAAAGAGAAAGAGAGAGCACTGGGCAAGAGAGAGAGAGCTGGGAAAGAGAAGAGAAGGAAAGAAAGAGAGCTGGGAAAGAAAAGAGAGAGCTGGGAAAGAGAGAGAGCTGGGAAAGAGAAGAGAAGGAAAGAGCTGAGAAAGTGGCTTTTTTTTTACTTCCAACTTTTATATTCTGGAATCTCAAAATTTACGAGGAGATAAGTGTATGAACAAGAAACTACTTCAAACTGAAATGTAGGAGAGATAAAGATAAATAAGGCAAATATAAATCGGTTAGAATAGTTTTTAAAAAAAGTGCATTCTGTAATTTCTTGATCTTGTTTTCAAGAAAAAATAACAGAAAAGTAGTTAAGAAAAATGTGTAATTATAAACCCAAATTTTTTAATGTTGACTTATTTCCATTTTGTGCATTTAGGCCTTCTCTATTGAGATGTTCAATTTCTAAAGCTGTGATAGCTATCAATGTTTAAACAAAATTATTCTTACTGTAATTTAATTTTATTAAATTTTAATTAAGGAAAACATTTCTGAAGAGGTTTTATCAGGGTATGCAATCTGTTATCCTGAGCTTTATCTTTTAAATAGTTTGTTTCAATTTGCTGCCAATTTATTTTCATAATGAGTGCCTTACTGTTTAAGTGTTTTTCAATCCACATCCTTAAATTTTCTCCGCCATGAAACTCATATACAAGGCTTTAATAAAACTTTAATAAAAACTTTAATGAAACTTTAATAATACATTTGTTGGTCTCCACAAAAGACGGATTGGCCATCTACAAAAGGGTTACTTTTCTTTATTTCAACCATTCTGGAGGTACTTTTCTGTTTTCTAAACTGTCCACTAGAGGGGGCACTTTTTCCTAGTTGCTGTGGAACTGCTATGCTGAGAGCACAGAGGCTTTGGACTTCTGTCTCAACAAAGTATCTAGAATCAGAGTCACAGCACAATGGAAAAGGTAATGGGAAAGTTCTCTCATTGCTAAATAAATGATCAAACTTTATAAGCCTTAAGAAATTGAAGTCGCTTCTAAACTGAAATGGAAAAGTACTCCCCTTTTTAGTTTTTATATTTTAGAACATATGCCTAACAAATAGCAGGTAAGAAGGGAATAAAAACAAAACTGTGAGGCCTGTGTTGCTTTGGAAGTAGTTGGTTTTCTGCTGTTAGTATAGTTTAATGAATGTAATTGTTTTCCATATCAGAGTTGGGTTTCTTGGTCTTTTAAATGCCTTCTGAAATTTTGGTTGCCTTGGTTCTCCCTGAAAACATAGCCCCCCCCCCATGAATTTCAGTGGCATTTCTTCATGATTAAAATACGTTTGTAATGACATTTGCTGATGCACTTAGGAGCCCGGGGGTGTGGGGGGAGGGAGTGTTGCACACCAGGCCTGAGTATACCTAAGAATGCTGCTCCAAGGCGGTTTGAAGATGCTGACTGTAGTTCTGTTCTTGAAGTGGAAACCCGGCTGCATACGGACCTCAGAAAGAGCAAAACATTTTAAGGTCTCATAATCTCTCTTTGTTTTCATCTTTAAAATGATCCTGGTAAGGCTGAGGGTGATGGCTCAAGACTCTAATGCTTTGAGAGGTGGAGGTTTGGAGGACTAGAGTTCGTGGCCCAGTAGGAAGCTCAGGGTCCAGGCCAGACCAGACAACAGCACAAGACCCTGAAATTATCTAGAGCAAAACAGGCTAGGGGTATGGCTCAGTGGTAGAGAGCCTGCTTGGGAAGTCTGAGGCCAAGTTCAACTCCCAGTACCATATAATAATAGCAATAGTAATAACGATCATTTTTATGTGATCATTATGCTTCTAAGTGTCAAGATTATACATTACATTGAAAAATACCTGCTAATGAGAAACTTACGAAACAGAAAATAGTTTAGAGCTATTTTTTTCCTGATACCTACATCTGTGTTCTATTTTGGTTTTTTTTTAACTATATTTGGTACATTCTATTTTCTCAACTGCAGCTACCGTGCAGCCTCTGTTATTCACTGGTATTCCAGGTATAAGTGACCGGTCAAATAAAGAGAATCAGGGAGGCTCAGCTAACTCCCCTCTCTTGGGAATTGATGTAGTGTAGCAGAAGCAGTCAGAGCAGATGAAATGGTCAGGCTGTTAGCAAACACATTGACATGTCACGGTGGTTTAGGCCGGGCTTCAGGTAAGTCTGTGGACTTCCCTGTCCTCAGTTTGCATGCCTGTAACACTGGAACTTTGATCTGGAGACAAAGGCCCCTTCCAACTTGACAGTGTCATCCTACGAGTGGGTGGGGTGTTGGAGTTTTAATCACAAATGGCCTGGAAAGGAAACCCAAAGCTAAAGTTCCTTCTGTGGGTGCCTCCCCTGCTTGAATGAGTGTCTCAGCTCTAGCTCTTCTTTCTCCCTATGCTGCCCACTGGACATTGGCAGACCTTTTGGGAGAGGGTGAGTATCCCTATATGTTTTCGCTTCTCATGAGAACTGTCTGTATCTTCAGAACTGTCCTCGTCTACACTTTCTGAGTCTGGGTATCTTCTGCCCTTTCCCTTCTCTTCCCCTTTGCTCTCTGTCTCTGATGCACTGCAGATTCTTTGGCTGGCCTGTCCTCTGTCCCCTCCGAAGCACAGATTTCAGACCCCTTCGCTCCAGAGCCCACCCCTTCCACCACGACTGCAGAAGCAGCCCCGGCCTCCGCCCCAGCCGCCACCACCCCCGCGGTGCCGGTGGCCTCCTCGGACGTGGATCTCTTCGGAGGTTAGTGTCCTCGTGGCTGCGCAGGCATCCTGGCAGAGAGGCATTCCACTCTGGCCATGCGACACAGCTATGTGGCTGTGCACAGGGACTTCCTTGGGTTCCACGCCACATACACGTCTTGCTAACCTGGTCAGGCTACCTCTGCTTCCTCCATACCCCGGGGATCTGACATGAAGGGCTTGGCTGCTTCCAGATCTCCCTGCACTCCTGGAGAAAATGTGCAGACTGGCAGAGGCATCCTGGCCTCAATCGTGTCCGAACACTCAGGGCAAAAGCCCCAGGTCCTCTAGATAGCAGCCTTCCTGGGGAATGGGCTGAGGTTGTCCATCTCTGTGGCGTTTAGCTTGCTCCCACCATGGAAGAAGTTGGGCCCTTCTGCCCTGGGAACTGGGAAAGAGTATCCACAGCTGCCTGTGCGGTGTGGAGTGCACACAGGGTGAGGTCAGTCTCTGAGACATCACGTCGAATGCCTGGGCCTAGGGGGACAGCTGAAGCCCACTCATCCAGCAGGGGTGGAGCTGGGCTCCCAGCCTTGAGGCATGCTCATGTCAGAGACAGGCATCAGGTGTGCTGTGATAATCCATATAGCTTTGGGTTTCCTCGTTACCATGTCGTCTCTTTTCCAGAGCCTCTAGGAGAGAAATGGGAAGCAGCTGGGATGGCGAGGGCAGGGAAGGTTTAGGGGGCCCGGGTGGAGTGCCTGTCTTTCCCTGGAATGCATTGTACAATCCCTCTGAGGTTGTGGAAGACAAGTAGCACCGGGCTTGCAGCAGAGAACAGGCTTGGCCTGGTGGCTTCCGTAGAGTCTTTGCCGCAGCAGGCTGGGGAAGGTGTGGCGCTGGGTACGTCTGCAGGGCTCAGCACAACGTTTATCTCCATACACACAGAGTTCAGCCTCCAGCAGCTTCACGTTCTAGAGTCTGTTTTGTAGTTTTCCATGATTTCCCCTAATTTATTAGAAATCATTTTGAGATTTTCCTTTAAACAGAAACCTACCCTTAAATCATTTGGACCCTCTTGCGTGGCCATTTTGAGAAATATTTTTTTCTCCCTAATATGGGCAAGTGGCTGACCCCGGCTGCATGCTAGCTGCATAACTTTAGAAGTTGTGTGGATTCGTTTAGGAAGAAGTGTGATGAATTTCAATTTCATGGAAATGGTTGTTTCATTTGAATATGAAATATTAAAACCTTGACTTTTTCTAAGTCATTACTGTAGCAGAACTGTAAATTTGGGAAATTGAAAAGACCCATTTTTTTAACATTTTTTAACATTCAGATTTATATTCACATACATTTTCCAGTCATTTCAATGGAAATGGCTTATTGAAGGCATTAAAAACTCCTTCACATGACTGTAATCCTAGCTCCTGAGGATCTGAGATCTAAGAATTGTGGTTCAAAGCTAGTTAGGGGAGGAAAGTCCATGAGACTCTAATCTCCAATGAACCACCAGAAAACCAGAAGTGGCGCTGTGGCTCAAAGTGGTAGAGCAATAGCTTTGAGCAAAAAGAGCTCAGGGACAGCGCCCAGGCCCTGAGTTCAAGCCCCACAACTGACATAAAAAACACATTTTAAGGACTTCTCAAATATATCACACTAATATCGCTGCTTCATTTTTTAGACAAACTCCAAACATGGAAACCTACTTTGTGGAGCCATGCAGAACAGGGTTGTAAGACAGTGATGGACTTTAAAATTTAAAATAGCTGGGGACCAGTGCCTCACACCTGCAATCCTCACTCCTCAGGGAGCTGAGAGCTAAGAATTGGGTTCAAAACCAGCCCAGGCAGGAAAGTCCATGACTTATGCCCAGTAAACTACCAACCAAAGTGGAGGAGCTATGGCTCAAGTGGTAGAGCTCCAGCCTTTAGCAAAAGAAGCTTAGAGACAGCACCCAGGTCAAGTTCAAGTCCCAGTACACACATACACTCTCTCCCTCTCCCTCTCCCTCTCCCTCTCTCTCTCTTTCCCTCTCCCCCCTCTCTCTGTCTCTGTCTCTCTGTCCTCTCTCTCTCTCTCTCTCTCTCTCTCTCTCACACACACACACACACACACAGAGTAAAGCTTGCAGACAATATTAAAATAAAGAAAATCCTTAAAGCTATCTGGGTGACCGGTGGTCAGCTAGGTCTCAATGAGCAGGACATTGGTGGAATGGCCGGCCTTGAAACAAAGCAGTTCACAGGCCTGACTGCGTTCCTGCCTGGTAGTGAACAAATGAAGTGAATCCACCTTTGCTAAAAGCCACTTACAGGGAGATTTCCTGCAAGAGCTTTGTCACCTGTAGGTCAGCAGGTCCTCCTCACTCTGTGTCTGTGCCCCAAAGTAATTAGGGAACTGTTGGTGAGAGGCTGATTCACTCCTTCCCCCACGCAGAGAGACTTGGGTATCTGGGGACAGGAAAAGTTGACCCTCCCACCTTTAAGCAAGAGGTGAGAGTTAGTGCATAATGTTTTGGGGGGCACCAGTACTGAGTCTTGAACGTAGAACCTGGACACTGTCCCTCTGCTTTTATTTTTCTCAAGGCTGGTGCTCTGCCACAGGAGCCACACCTCCACTTCCTGCCTTTTGCTGGTTAATTGAATATAACAGTCTGTCAGATTTGTCCACCTGGGCTGACTTCACCCTCAGTGTGCAGATCTCAACCTGTTGAGTAGCTAGGATTACAGGCATACGCCACCATCACCCATAAAATTAAAAATGTTTAGTTTTAGTTTTTTTTCTTTGCTCAAGGTTGATGTTCTACCAGTAGAACCACAGCTCCACTTTTGGTTTGGGGGGGGGTGCTTAATTGGAGATAAGAATCTCATAGACTTTCCTGCTTGGGCTGGATTCTAACCACAATCCTCAGATCTCAGCCTCCAGAGTAATTAGGATCACAGGCGTGAGCCATTGGCATCCAACTAAAATGTTTAGTCTTCAGTAGCAGACGCAGCATTGAAAAAGATGTGTGGTTGATGGGGGGAAAGAAACCTAAGGGCCTCACTGTAAATACGGGTTTCAACCAACTTACACAGGAGGAAGCAGCCACCTGGAGAGAGAAGTTAGCCATGCGTCCCCAGACCCCAGGCCTGGTCCATTCATTACCCTAGACAGAGGAAGTGGTAGACTATAGAGTTGAACATGGTTCTAATGGTATAGTGTAGCTCAGACAGGCAGCTGAGGACCAAATCCTGTTATTGTTACAAACTACACATGGTGTTTGGAAATAAGAATGGCTACATCAAGGCAGTTGATAGATAGTTTATAGTATCCCACTTGTCATTTTTGTGATGAGAACACATTAATGATCTTTAAACTTTGCTTCTATCCTCTTCATAATAGAGATAATGATAGGATTGCTGTAGGAATGAAATTTAATGATATGCGAAACCTCGACCGCCATTGCTGTTCTGCTCTCCCCGCCATGACTGGCCTCAGTTCCCGACTGTGTGAGGACAGCGAGGCCCCGCCCACCCCAGCCTGAGGCCTGCTCCTCAGAGCTGCTCCCGCCCTGCACAAAGTTGTATCTGGAGAAGCATGCTTCCCCCCACCACCATGTCCTTTGTATTCTCCTGTATTATTTATTTGCCTTCTCCCCTCACCTCTGGAGCAGCAAATATCCTCTTCATATAGCCGAGTAGCAACCAGATCCAATTAACCTTAAGCTATCAGTGACTGAGGTTCTATTTGTGGTTTTCTAAAGGCCCTTCTAACTCTGGAGATTCTCTCATTCAAGGTGGTTTTTAAAAATTATTCCACAAGACACTAGGTGCAGACTGTTGCTAGTGTGTGTTTATACCTCTGTCAGTCTAGAACCCCTGTCAGTTTGACTTGAACAGAAAAGCAAGTGTCTTCACTGTGGGACTTCCTCAGGTCTCACGTGCTAAATAAACCTCCCAGAAAAGGGACATATCTGTACTGTTTCCAAAGCACATTTCACAAATGCTTTTCAACTCCTGAGGATGAGTGTTGTAGAACACATCAGTAGATACAGTAAACACAGGAGGTGCGGGTTCTAGGTGGGTACTGTGGACACAACAGGTGCAGGTTCTAGGTGGGTACTATGGACACGGCAGGTGCAGGTTCTAGGTGGACCTGGTCCTGCTCCCTCAGGGTTTCTGCTTTTAAGCCTGCCATGCTTATGGTAGCCTTGGAGCTTCTGTACTTTCAAAATAATATAATTTCTAGGACATCTCATATGATTTTTCTAATAGAGATGCTTTGAGAAAGTCACACACATACACACATATACACACCAGCTTTTATAAAGTGAACACACAGGACTAGAGATGTAAGTGGTAATTACTTACCTTTTGCATGCACAAGACTCAAGGCTCCTTCCCCACTACTTCAAAAATAGGTAGGTAGGTAGGTAGACAGACAGACAGACAGACAGGTAGGCACCAGTAGATCACACTTGTACTCTTAGTGACTCAAGAGGCTGAGATCTGAGCACTGATGTTTGAAGCCAGCCCATACAGAAAAGTTCATGAGACAGGCTGGAATTGGAGTTGTGGCTCAGGTGGTAGTTTTCAGCCTTGAGTAAAGAAGCTAAGGGGTACACTCAGACCCTGAGTTCTAGCCTGGGCACTGGCACCAAAAACAACAGAGGGGGGGAATGTGTGTATTTATATACTGGACCTGTCAGTGTGTTAATGGACTTTTCATAACCACAATAACAATAATATATTATTATATGATTATTATAGACATCTAGTATTTAAACATGAAATTATGTTTTTGCCTGCTGAAAACAGATCATTTTCCAACTAACAGGAAAATAGAATAGTAGTTAAAAGAATAAATGTAAGTACCAATAAGCATCCTGCCCTAACTTACCTATTTCTTTACAAATGGATCCTGGGCTTGGTGAGTTAAGATTTTTCCCCAGGCGCTTTTAACATCATAAAAACGGAACATGTATAAACGCTAAGCCTTTCAGGTCGCCAGGAGAGTGTGTCTCAGACCACCAGAATTTTAAACTGATCATTGATGCGCCCCTCTGTTTGCCTTGAACCTCTGTTTACCATCATGTGCCCGGAAGAAGGCATTGGTGTTGGCGGGGAGGGGGGGGGGGGGTTGGGTGGTGAGGCCTGGCCAGACCTCAGAATCCCGCCGTGCACCCACGTGGCTTGCACATCGGAGTCCCGATGTCTCAAAGTACACAACCAAGTCGTCTTGTGTTTTACTTTGTCGGTTTCTAGCGGTCCATGAAACACGCTTCCAAGGGCCCTTATACAATGAGAATTGGGGTTCGCGCGGTGTGGACAGGGCCATGCGTGCACGCGCGCGCCAACCCATGCCAGGGTGCACCCAGCACCGTGCATGCATGTGCACGCGTGCAAGGGCCACCAAAGACGCCTTTGGAAACACCCAGCATTCATGTATAAGGGAGCCCTCTTCACGGTGTTAACTCGATTCTTTCACTCTATTTTCTTCTCTTTGTATTCCTCGCATTTCTGTTGTTTGCACAACCGCACCCAAGATGCGTTTGCCGCTTCTCCGGGGGAGGCCCCCGCCGTGCCCGAGGGCGCCCCCGCGCCCGCCGCGCCCGCCCCGGTGGCCGCCGCCCGCGATGCTTGCTCAGGAAATGGTGGGTCCCCGCGATGCCCCAGGGAGCCCTGGGTGATTTGGAGGTTCTGTTTTTATGCCCCCACCCCACCCCCGTTCTGTGTCCTTCGGGGTAGAAATCACCCTTCATGCCAGCCCGGCCGGGAACGGCCGCCCCCCCCCCTCGACGTCCGGGCAGCCGGAACCCGCACGCCTCGCCGAATTGACACCTCCCCAAGGTGGCTGACAATTCGTGCGGGCGCGAGCATGCGCACTGGACACTCCCGCCCTGCACCAGGCGGAGTCTCTTGGCAGGAGCAGAGCAGATCCCTTCGGATCTGTGTTCGCGAACTTTCCAAGCTGCGGGGTTTGGCCAGGCGGATGCGGGGGGGGGGGGAGGAGGGGGCGAGGATGGAAGCAGGCTCACCCGACCGCGGGGGCCATGCGCACCGCGCAGCTCGTGTTCCCGACTCCCGTGGAGCCAACATTTCCTCTATTAAAAAATAATTTTTTTCTTTTCTTTAAAAAAAGCCCCTACCGCTGCCCCTGCTGATGAGGATAGGAGCTCAGTCCAGGCAGCCCAGCCCCGTTAGCGTGCCAGTGCGCGTGCGCCCCGCCGCGGGCACGCCGCCGTGTGTGTGCCCGTAGTCCCCCCGCTCACGCGTGTCTCCCCCTTCCTTCCCCAAAGACCCCTTCGCCCCATCCGAGGGGAGCGCGGACGCTGCGCCCGAGCTGGACCTCTTTGCCATGAAGCCACCCGAGACCAGCGCTCCTGTAGTCACTCCCACAGCTAGCGCCGCACCCCCTGTTCCCGCCACCGCGCCTTCTCCTGCTCCTGCTGCCGCGGCCGCCGCCACGGCCACCACCGCCACCGCAGCCCCGGCCCCAGCCCCGGCTGCCCCGGCAGCCCAGGCCGCCGCTCCCGCTCTAGATATCTTTGGGGGTAATTCTGTTGCTCTTCTTGTTGCTGTTGTTGTTGCCAAACGCTCTGTGTCTTGTGGATTGAACCCAGGCCCTTGGGATGCACACGCATGCAATGCAACTCGGCTGCGTGCATGCATGCATGCACGCCTGCACGCATCTCAGCTGCATGCACGTACACGTGCAGCTCAGCCGCATGCACGCACGCCTGTGTGCATGCAACTCAGCCGCATGCACACGTACGCATGCACGCACGCAAGCAACTCAGCCGCATGCTTGCGCACACACTGGCACGCAACTCAGCTGCATGCATGCATGCACTCACGCACCGAAAGGGGACAGGGCTTCCGCTCAGCACTCCACCCGCAGCATGCCCCGCACAGCGCACAGTGCGAGGTGACGCGGCACAGGCTGTGTGCCCCACGCCCTGCTGCGTGGAGGCCCAGCCCGGGCTGTGCGCCCTGCTGAGCGGACCCGTGTCTCTCGGTCATAGATCTCTTTGAGGCGGCTCCAGAAGTGGCGGCGGCCCCAGCGCCTACTAAGCCGGAGGCTGCGCCCAGCATAGACCTGTTCGGGACAGGTAAACGCCCAGTTTCTCCTTCCGTGTCATCTCCGCTCCTGCGTGCTCGTAGACGCCCCGAACTAACCGATACCTGTGTTAGATCTCTGCCCAATTCCAGCCTTCCGCTAACTTGTGCTTGGTTTTGGCTTGTCCCTCTGGGAAGATGGCTTCTCCTCTCCACCGCACGGGGCCTCTCCGGTGCCGGACAGCGCGCTCACAGCCGACCTCCTCTCGGGTGAGTGCTCGTGCCAGGGCTCGCCTTCAGGGCTGGGGTGGGGGGTGGGGCTCGCGCATGTGCCCCAAGGGGCTGCAGGTGTGGCCCGCTTTTCCCTCCGCCCATGGCCGACAGGTGAGGGTTCACGTTGCAAATCCAAGGCTGGTAGAAAAAAAGAAAACCTTTCCACGGGAAACCTCGGGACCCCGAACCCCAGGCCGGGCATAGGTTGTAAAACCCCTGGCTCTATCCCAGCTGTGGAGCCGGCCTGGGGGCCCTGCACGCCCCACACGTGCGCCCCGCAGCCCGGCCCACGCTGCCCCTCCCGCGTGACGCGCGCTCTCGTGTTCTGTGCTCACTGCAGTGGATGCGTTTGCCGCGCCTGCCCCGGCAGCCGCTGCTTCTCCGGCAAAGGTGGAGCCTGCGGGCGTAATAGACCTGTTCGGGGGTGCGTATCTCTCCTCCCACCCTGACCACCACTCGCTTGGTTTTATTTTCTGTTTTGCACCATCAGCTCTTGTTCCTCTGTTTCGTTACGTTTCATCCTTTTTCTCCAAACCACGTGGCATCATTTCTGTCTCTTCCATGCAGCATTATGTGTTTCCATTTCTTTTGCCATCATCTCCAACCTCATCATTGTATCTCCATTTTCACTGCATGACCCGCCGCCCACCATTCCTCCCAACCCTCGTTAACACCAGGGTTGTCTTCTCTGCCCCTCTCCCTTGGTGATCCCGGTCTTCCGGACCCGGCACCGTTCCGGAGCTCTTTACAATAGAAAGGTGGAGGAGACCATTCAGACTTGGACACACATCCCCCAGTCAAAACCAAAGGCGTAAAAGCAAGATGGCACGCGTGTGTGCCACCGTGGGTTTACATCACGCTTAGTGTGTTAGAAATCCTCCAGAGAGTTTGAAGATGATTTTTCTGGGTAGAATGTATCCTTTTCTTCCTTTTAACGACATCTGAAAGCAGGAACACGTAGAGAATTCTGCAACCACCTTTCTGGGTGATCCAGCTAAAGTCTTCTGTTGGCAGTAGACTTCTAGAGACAAAGTCTGGGCCATGTCCCCGATGCCCGGGGGGCCCTTGGAGGCTAGTGAGCCCTCCTGAGCCACGGGAATGTGGTTGAGCTCCCGCTGGACATCAGCACATCCATGACCCATGCCTGCCCCTGGCCCTGGCAGGTGCCGTTGAATGCAAAGAGCTCACCAGGTCAGGACTTGGAAGTCTCATGCCCCAGTCACTGACACTTAAAAAGTACAGAGTTGTTGCTGCTGCTTGAACTACATTCAAATTTTCCAAAGTTGGATAGTCTTCTAGGTGGGAAACTTCTGGGTTTTTTTACCTTTGGTAAAAAATAAATTAATGACAATTTAAACCTCAGTCCTGTTTTGGTAAGTGACGAGATTTGATTCAAAAGATTCATTCTTTTCTTTTTTAAAGTGTCTTAATATCACAAAGGTTGGGGGGGTTGTCCTGATTCCTAAATGTTTTAGAAGGCTTTTGAGAAAAGGAAATGTTTAGAGATGATGTTAGTAGCACACATAGCTGTCTTCCCAGCACTCAAAATGCCGCTTAGATAGGACGGTCAGAAATTTGAGGCCAGCCTGGGATACCCTGCAAGACCCCCCTCCTCCAAGTATGAACTAGAAGTGTTTAGAGCATCATTTCATTCATCCATCACAGGATGTCCTGTCTCTGCGTGTCTGTGCCTCACACTTGAGTTGCCTATGGTACTTACTGTTGACGTTCTCTTGCTTTTTTTTTGCTGCATAATGGATAAACGGATAGATGCTTTTGGAACTAGTGCATCTGAGTCCCAACCTACTCCTCAGGCAGCTTCTAGTTCTTCAGCCTCGGCCGACCTACTAGCCGGTAACTCATTTAATTAATGTAGCATTTGGAAGAAGTTAAGTTCAGATGTATCTTTATAAGTAACAGATACTACGTAAGTTGAAAAGTACATTTTTCTTTCACATTCAAGACATGAACTTGAAAACCATGGCATTCTATATGGGAAGGTTGATTATTTCCCAGGATTTTATGGAAGCAGTCTTAAAGTCACAATTAATTGTATACAATGGTGGCTCCTTGGATTGTCCAACCTGCCTTATTTTCATTTAGCACTTGTCTTTTTGTTTCCTGAAAAGATAATGGTCTTGTGTGGCAGTTTTCACCTTATACTGACTAGGCTCATTTATCTTGGATTTGTGGGAAATGTACCATGATGTTTAACAAATGGTGTTGTGATATACAAATCATCCTAGGAAAAACTTATTAGAGATCTCTACCATTGACTTAAAGCTCTTCCTACATAAATCATTGTTTTAACAAGCTGATCATTTTTCTATCTGAAATACATAGCTGATGCTAGCTGAACAGAGACATGGTGTGGGGTAGATTGGTACAGTCTATCTAGGGTCCTTGCTTATTGTTAGCATAGAGTAGACAGAATAAGAGAGAACTATTGGGACCAGGCGCTGATGGGTCACACCTGTAGTCCTAGCTACTCAGGAGGCTGAGATCTGAGGTTTGTGGTTCAAAGCCAGTCTAAGCAGACAAATCTAAAGAGACTCTATCTCTAATCACTAAAAAGCCAGATGTGGAGCTGAGGCTCTAGAGCACCAGCATTAAGTGAAAAACCTAAGGAACAACTCTCAGGCCCCTAGTAACTGACACACACAAAAGAGAGAGAAAACAGTATAAGTACTCAAGGACAGGAAGAACTTTGGGGCAGGAGAGCATTGCATCATGGGAATCAGACCTCAAAATGATGGAATGTGCCAAGTACAGGACCAGATGATCAGGGAAACTCAGTAGGTTTCCACATGGCACAGCAGGGATGCTACCCAGGCGCAGACTCTGAGACGCAGCTTCCATCCGGCTAGCCCCTTCAGGGGATGCACTTTGGCCCTGGGCTGGCCAGGAGCCATAAGGATCATCAAGGATCATCGCAACATAGTGCAGCTGCCACATGGGAATCTGCCACATCTCTCGTGTGGCTCTCTGTAAGAGTAAGTGACTAGCTCCCATCTCAAGGGTCGGACTCATGGTTCTAAGTAGTATCATAAACAATACTGACCCCCAGTATTTCAGGCCAAAGCGTTGGTGTTCAGCTTTGTAGTAATGGCAGGTACTAAGGCACCCTTGTCAACCTCCAGGGTTGTAGGAAGTTTCTTTGAGTTCTCATCTTTCCTCAAGAAGCTGGAGGTATGGTCTGGGAAGGAGGCTCAGTGGTAGAGCGCTTGCCTTGCATGCCTGAGGCCCTGGGTTCGATTCCTCAGCACCACATAAGCAAAAAAAAAAAAAAGAAGCTGGAGGTAGTCGGCTGCTAATCTCTCCTCCCATCAGTAATTTGATCTGGTTATTTAATTCTTTCTCAAGTACAATAGTGGTTTCTTGGTGTCTTTCCTGTGCTCTCCAGACACCGTGATCACACTTAGCAGTGTCTTGGACATATCCTCTCATTCGGTGTCTGCCAGCGGCATTTTTTTGAGCTGTGAAGAGTCCTGCCTGCTGTTGGGTTCTTGGGAAGCTGAAACATGATGAGAGACAGTGGACCAAACCTTTCACTTGAGAGAAAAAAAAAAGTTCTCAATCTTGCTGGTTATTTTCCTGGCCTAGATCCTCTTCACAGCCCTTCAAATTGGCCACAGCTCCTTCTGAACTTGTATTTGTAACTCACCCATCCAAGGTCCAGTAATGAGATTTCATCTGACCCTAGAAATAACGTAGTTTCAAATAGCTATTTGAAATGACGTATGGGCTTTAGTAAAAAACTTCTTGCTTTGAAGTTATATAAGCTTGAAATGGCACCTGAAATCAAATGTTCTGGCTTCTTGCAGAATTCTGAGAAGTCTGCCTTTCTCACCTGAATATCGTCTACCCTGCCCCAGATAGAAAAGCTCCTACCAGACAGGAGCCTGGCAGAGTGGCTAGGCTGTGATTGCCATGTGCAGGGCTGGCCAGCTACCCTGTTACCTCCCACGTGTTCAGACTGCTGTGCCCCTTTGCCCTCCAGGCCTAGAACTGAGCTACTGCTTCCAGAAGAGCCCACTGGGGCTCATCTAGTGTTTCCCACTAAGAAAGGGAAAACGGAGCATTCTCACCCGGCTCCAAGTCAGAGGTTAGTGACTCCATCAAGAGATTTGCTCCTAGGGACGAGATAGGATCTAAAAAACATCAGGAGCAACTAGGAAAGGGCTGTCCCATGCATCAGGTATCATGGGGAGCTTGGAAGAAGTCCCCTAAAAGAAAGTATATTATTCAATCAAAAATGGGATACCAAAAGAAAAAAGAAAGAAAATTGGTGATGAGAGTTCAGTTTCATTTATTCTGCACATTCTACTTCTTCCACTACAACTTCCATGGCTCTTTCAATGATGGGGAAATTGTATATTGTGTAAACTTTCTTATCTTCTTTTCTATGTAAGTAAAGTAATATTGAATGCAAATGAGTCTATGTGGGTTTTAATGCTTCCAACACAATTGAGTTAATTTACACAAATGGAAGCATATGATTTTATCTTTTTATCTTATGACCTAAGAAATTTTAAGTAACTTTTAATTTTGAAGTTTTTTTCCCCCTAAGGTTTAATCTTGGGACCAGATTGTGTTTTAGTTACAGAAAGGCATTTCTCATGCTTGTTTAAATATCAAAGCAACAGGAAATCATGTTCTTAGTTTTTTTTAAAAAAATCTTGAAATATCAATATAATTCTATCCTGTAAACTCAGGGATTCTAGCCAGTAGTGATTATATGAGTTTTTACATTACCCCAAGCATTTTCATTTGGTGCACATGTAAGTCTGCTTAAATAGAATCAGTTTTTTTTAAAAAGTGTAGATAGCAAGCCCACAAACATGATAGGGTTCAAATCAGGATCTGAGGGGAGGGGTGAAAGAGGGAGGGAGGGAAAAGAAAGGGGGGATGAGAGATAACAGAGTTTGTGTTTTATGGAGAATGTTCTAGTCTTACATTATTGGCTATGAGTAATAAAGCTATTTAATGAAGATGAAAGAGAACACACAATACCCAGATGATCATGAATGGTTCAGACTTTGCATTAAGAGCTTTATTGTAAGGGCTCTTTCCCTGTGTCACCTAAGATTAGTCCCCGGCTTGCTTTTTTGTTTTTGTTTGTTCTTCAGTGCTGAAGATCATTGAACCCAGGACCACAGCAAGCACTGTGCTGCTTGACTCTATCCTCAGCACTGTTACTTTTTTTTTTAAAGGAAATACATTTACATGAAAATAATAAGAGGAAAAATAAATAGCAGGCATAGTATTCTTTAGACATTTAAAAAGTAACTTAAAAACAGAAAAAATTTTATTAAAATTTTGTATGTAAGACAAAGACTAAGTAGTCCTTTTTTGTGTGTTGGTCCAGGGGCTTGAACTCAGGGACTGGAGCCTTCTGCTCAAGGTTGGCACTCTACCACTTGAGCCATAACTACATTTTCTGGCTTTGCTTTGTGTGTGTGTGATTAATTGAAGACAAGAGTCTCATAGACGTTTTTGCCCAGGCTGTCTTTGAACTGCAGTTCTCAGATCTCAGTCTCCTGAAGAGCTGGGATTACAGGCATGAACACCAGGGCACGGCTGAGAACATCTTTCCTTTAGTAAAGGTATTCACCATGCAAATCTACCTTTCAAATACTAAAATTGCCTAACATAACCTCTGTGAACTCTAGAAAGACTTTCATAATAACTCACAACTTTTCCAATCTGAAGTATTTTTCATATATAATCCTCAACCCACATCACTCTCAGCTCTCCTCTCAAGCTGAATATTCTTATACAACAATGCAGGGTAACATCTGCTGCTGTTTTTGTCCATTAACTGAGAGAAATGATTTGCTTCTAGTCCTCAAAGAATAAAGAATTTTAGGTCCAGTTAACTTTCAGTAGACTTTGTGATCTCCTTACCTTCAGTCCACAAGCACAAATTCAGTGTTTAGGCTGAATATTAGTAAATGGAAGCCATTGGCATTGTAAGAATCTGAAAGCCATGGGATATCAGTGGCAGATGATAGAGAAATGACTTGGTTAGCATGTTCTACCCCAGCTGCATGTGGAGCCTGCATTGGTTAGGTCCAGCCTGGAGACAGGCTGCCTCCCCAGGACTGCTTCTGAATTCCAAAAGCAGAGGTGAGCATGCCCATATTTGGAGATAACCCACCAGAGGGCCTGAGATACATATAGAAGATCGTCTTCTGTCACTCTAAGCTAAGGTGCCTACCTAGATACTTTCTAGGTGGCTCCTAGTGTATTTGTAGAAACATAAGATCCTCAAATATAATGAAAATAATTGCCTGACTTTTAACCCCAATGATGCTTTCTTTGCTTTTTGTACTTGGTCATAGTAACAATTGGATGCCACAGGTTCTTTTAATAAGTCCATATATCCCTATGTACGATATCTTATTTCTAATTAAAGTAAATCTGTCGTTAACACATGATGGATCAGCATACTAGAAAGGGGACTGATTCAGGGGAGGAACCCATGTGAGGAGAGAGGGAAAGGGATTTATTCATATAGTTTATAAACGTTAATTTACCAGTTAATATACATTACCATGTTTAAGAAAATGTCAAGAAACTCAGCAAATTGTTTTCATTTGGGGAGAAGGAGCAGAAATAAGGAGTAATAGGTGAATTTGATCCAAGTATATCTCAATCATATATACATATGTGAATATCACAATGAAATGCCTCTAAACAATTAGTTGACATTATTTAAAAGAGAGAAACTTTGAAAAGTGAAATGTTCTGGGCACACTGCCTACTAATAGCCACCGTGCATTCTTTCTTCCTTTCTTTTCTTTCACCATTAGTTGTGTTTGCTCACCTTTTTCTGGGTTTTTTTTTTAATTTCTAGGGTTTGGGGGTTCGTTCCTGGCCCCTTCTCCGTCCCCGGTGACCCCGGCTCAGAATAACCTGCTTCAGCCCAATTTCGAGGCAGCCTTTGGCAGCACGCCCGCCACTTCCAGCAGCAGCTCCTTTGACCCGTCAGGTAAGGCACCGGCTGGCAAGCCCTCTCACCGTCTCTTCTGATAACAACACAGAGCAGCGGAGGTCAGAGAGCCACCAGCAAGCCTGAGTGATAGCCAGGCTTGAAAAGCTAAGTCTCTCTTTCTAGAAACAACCTGAATGAAACTTTCCAATACCTTTTTACAGCTTTAAGAATAACCTACAACCCTTTCTGTTTCTCTTCTTGATTTTTAGCAGAACTCTCACTTAACCACGCACACCATCTCTTTGCATGAGCTTACACGCACATGACTTAGAAATGGTCAAGGGGACACACACACACACACACACACACACACACAAACACACACTCTTGGTACGACCTTCGTACCTGAGTCTTTGTCTCTGAATCGGTCGGACAGCCCCCTGCCTGTTGCTTAGACCCTCGAAAGCTTGCATGGCCCTCAGTTTGACGAAGTTGAGACACAAATAATATTCTTTGCCTGCCTTGGACCTGTCATCACTGCTGTCATTTTGTTTGTATTTTCTTCCATTCTCCTCTCCCCATGCTGGGTCCTCACTACAAATTTTCAATTGGTGAGTTTTTGGTAATTCAATGTGTTTCAGAAGTACCCTAAATACATCCCCTGCCTGACAAATTGGTTGCGTCTATTGCCAGTGCCTAGTTGAATGCTTTCCTTGTTTTACTTTATAACTCTTGCGTAGTAGTGTATATGGTAGATACTTATAGTTTCTTGATTAAAACAATTGTTTACAACCACAAAATGAGATTTCAGTATCTTATAAAGATACAGCATCTGCATTTTGAAGTCTTTTTGAATTCTAGCATCTGATAAGTGGTATTTGTCCTACAGAGATCAGAAACCATCAGTGATGGTCTTTGATTTCTAATTCTTAGACTTTTGTTTAATGTAAACATCCCCTTTAAAGTGAAAAACAAACATAATTGCTACAGTGAGAGAGAAGGAAAAGCCAAAGTTGTTGCTTCAAAAATAACCATCAGCCATTCTGTAGACATTTACTACTAGGTTCCGACTATTAGATTAAGTGTTCTATTTTCATAGAAAACTAGGAGATGTGATCTTCTTTGCTTATTGAGGAATTACTTTAAAGGAAGCACCGTAGGTTTTCAGAGTAAAACCTTTAGGCCTTGTGATAAGTCACTATCCTTTTGAGTAAAAAAAAGTATTTTTGTAGCAGTTGTTAATAAGACTAGCCGTACAACAAAACAAGCACTCCACTAAACGAGCTGAAATGGATTCCCTCATTTACTGTTACACTGAAGCCTTGTATGATGTGTTAGTGGCACTCTCCCCACTGAGAGATGAGAAAACGAAAAAGCCTAGACAGTCGCTCCACAGAAGTCAGAGAGCTAGCGGGGTCAGGGCTCATCCTGTACATTTTACAGCTCTCTTCCCCATCTCTCTCCATCCTCATTAGTGTTCCAACGCTTTCTGAGCAGACCCGTGTAGCGTGCTCCCCGGCACCCTGCTGTGGCTCACGTGCCTTCCGTCATACGAATGCATACTCATTGCCATCTGTGACAAAAAGAGAGTCTCTCTCTCATTCTGCCTGTGATTGCTTCCCCCCCCCCTTCTTTCTTTTTTCGATCATTCTGAATCTGGCCTATTTGATTTCCAGTATTTGATGGTCTAGGTGATCTTCTGATGCCAACCATGGCACCAGCCGGGCAGCCTGCCCCTGTCTCCATGGTACCACCCAGTCCAGCCATGGCCTCCAGCAAAGCCCTGGGAAGTGATCTGGATTCGTCCCTGGCCAGCTTAGTAGGCAGTGAGTAATCAGCTTTCTTCAATGGGCGCCTACACGAGGTGGTTTGTTTTCCGTCCTTTCACGCATCTTCTGGCTAGTTTTGCTGATGGAGAGGATAGAAAGACTTAGCGCTCAACCCAGAGCCCTTCAAAGAAGGTAATAGTGGTGAATCCATTGTCTCAGGAGTACCTGTGCCATTTTTAATCTGAACTACCACAGGAACGATTAAGGAGCATGCACAGGTATGAAGCCAAGTGGATGGTATGTAGTAAAGACTTTCCCATCATTTGAAAACAAGGGTAGAGAGTAAATTGAATACAGGGTATTTGGATAATATGCTATATCATTGAGTTCAGTATGTTTGAATTACACTAGTATTGAATGCAGTATATTTGAATTCTATGCTGTAATATATAATATAGGATATTATGTAGTGTATTTAAAATTGTGTATCTGCATTTCAGTCATTCATTCAACAAATGTTTGAGATAAATGAGAGATAAATCAATGAACAAAATAGATAAAATCTCTATTCTGATGGCCCGTAGGAAAGGCAGACACAAACGGTAGACATTTTAAAATAAGTAGATTCCAGGATGGGTGCATTGGTTCATGCCTATAATCTCAGCTACTTGAGAGATAGAGATCAAGAGATCTTAGCAAGTCCTCATCTCAACTAAGAAGAAGTTGGGTGTGGGGATGCATGCCTGGGATCTCCAACCCGAGAGAGACTGTAAATAGGAGGATCACAGTGTGCGCTGGCCCAGAGCAAAAACACAAGAAACTATTCGGGGGGGAGGATCAAACACAAAGGGCTGAGCAAACCTAAAGTCCTGAGTTCAAACCACACTACCACCAACAGAAACTAATTGATTGAATTAAGTAAGCAACTTCTTTAGTATGTTAAGTCGTAAGTGTCATGAAGACAAAACAGAGGAGGGAAGAGGAATCACTTGTGAGGCCATTGGGAGTGAAGTGGAGGACAATGAAACCCCAGCTCAGGCTGGGGGCAGAAGGCGAATGCACAGCCTGTGCAGTGGGAAAACACCAGGGCCGGAGGTGGCGGTGCATGAGGGCCTCTGCCCAGCCTCTGCCTCACTTCTACACCTTCAAGGAAGCAGGAAGTATGCTCCATAGGAGCACATTTTCAGTCAGTTAGCTGGTTACCATTCTCTATGAAACTAATGGTAAATAACTAATTATTTAATCACAAGTGCTTGTCACCTTCTACTTACAGAACCATGTAACCATGGACTGTGGACTAGTTTTAATCCACTTCTCAGACACAAGGTAGACAGCTGAATCTACGCATGCATACCCCTCAGCAACACATCACAATGTGGTCCTTGAGCCAAGTGTGTGCAGCTCACACCCATAACCCCAGCTACTCAGGGCGCTGAGATCTGAGGACCACAGTTGAAAACCAGCCTAAGAAGACAAATCCAAGACTCTTATCTCCAGTTAACCAGCAAGAAGCCAGACATGGAACTGTGGCTCAAGTGGTAGAGCAACAGCCTTGAATGAAATGCTAAGGAACAGTGCCTAGGCCCTACGTTCAAGCCCCAGAAAAACAAAACAAAACACCAAGATGCAATTCTTAAGCATGACATGTAATAAAATTAAATCGTAAAGTTTGTAAAGATCTTTTTACAATTGGATGCAGGCACTCCAAGCAAAATGTAGACTTTCTCTAAGTTTTTTATTCCTTGACTTCTTAAGTATGTAAATGAAATATAGTGATTTCAATTCCTTTTTTTTTCTTTTATCCATTTATAGATCTTGGAATCTCTGGTACCACAACCAAAAAGTAAGTGTTTTGAAATGATCTAATTTCCTTTTAACAGTGTATTTGTGTTGGTTTGAGACTATCAAACATTGCTGTCATGCTCAGACTGGATAATTTCGAAATCCATTCTTCATTTCAAATAGTTGTCAGCTGCTCTTCTCTTGAAACCTCTGCTCTTCCCCTGCAATGAAAAAGGATAATCCATTGTGGTCTCAAAGACTGTTTCCATTCTATCCACACGTACTTTAGGATGGTGGTTCAAATAGCTTAATAACTTAAAATTCCAAACTCATTGCACTGTTTCTAGCTAACAGTGGTTTTTACGAGTCTTTCACGGCACCTTGGTAGCAAGGAAGGGGCACCTTGGTAGCAAGGAAGGCTTTTACGGTGGTAGGCAATGTATGCTGTCCTGCCTTCAAATCACTGCAGGGCAAAGTGTCAGCATGACACAGTGATATGAAACTCTCCAAGATCCCAAGCTGCCATCAGCAGTGTGTCTCAAATCCAACAAAATAGAAGTGCCTAACATTAATCATGTATTCTTTGTAAACTCCATGATGAGTGAGGAATTGAGTTAAATATTCCAGCATACTTTTCTGTACAGGTGACAGGAAATTTCTGTTATCATTGAGATCAAAATGAATATTTTCTCCAGTCTTTTAGATAAAATAGGATAAGACCCCCTCTGTAAGTTTTTACCTTCTTCCATTTTTTCTTTTTTTTTTTTTCTAATTCTTGGCTCTGTTTCCTTTGTCTGCTTGGTTTGTAGGGGAGATCTCCAGTGGAATGCTGGGGAGAAAAAGCTGACTGGTGGAGCCAACTGGCAGCCAAAGGTGACGCCAGCCACATGGTCTGCAGGCGTGCCCCCGAGTGCGCCTCTGGTAGGTAACGTGGCAGGGGGTGGAGGGGGGGGAATGTGGGAGGAGGCCTCCAGTGTCCATGTTCAGATGTGCGGAGCAGAGGGCATTTCTCTGAATGTGGCCACTCACGTTGGGTTTCTGCCTCCATGGTGAAGAAGTAGAAGCAAGATGCAAAGTCTACCGGAACACAATTCCACTGACTTTGATGTCCAATAACAACGGGACCTATTTTTTACTTTAAATAGTTTGAAATGCTGTCTATGCTTCTTCTCTATTTAAATAATTATGGGAACAGTTTTTCCAAAGCATTTCATTATAATATCCCAGATCCAAAAAGACTCCAAGACACCCAGTGAAAGGAGCTAGAAACTTTATTACTACCGTGCAGGGACTGCTTCCTACCACTGGGAAAGGAGCTCAGGATAGGATGGGTTTTTGTAGGAGTAGGTTACATAGAGTTACATAGATGAGCCATGCAAGGCAGGTTTGGCACATTTTCATTGGTTATAGTTATATGACCTTTAAATTTATTTGTTCTTTATGGTAAATATCATACGTAATAATTTGCAATAGGCTGCCCATAGTGGGACCACTCAGTGGTGGGCTTCAATTGGTGGACTTCAGGCCCTGTTACTGAGGCAAACAAGCAAGGTTACAGAAGTAAAACATAGCAAAACCATAGCCTTGAGTCGCAGGAGCATAGGCAAAACATAATCTTGACTTGGTCAGCATGATCAATACTATCAATGCTATTGACACTATTACAGAAATTATTTTTATTATAAGCTCCTGACTAATACAGCAACTCAGTGCAGCTGGTGATAAGCCGCAAGGTTGTCAGTAGCCTTCTGCAAAGCTGCCAGCTTAGTAAACTTGACTTGGAGAGATAGATGTTCTTTTGCTTTTTAGCAAGGACAGAGAAGGGGCAAAGGCTGACTACTGGTCAGCCTTTGTCTGGGGTTTTTCTTTCCCAAGAGGTTTTGCCCTTTATCAATAGTTTTGTTCTGTTTTCTGATTTCACATTTTTGTTCCCATGGACATTCTTTTGCCAGAGAAATGGGGGTCCAGGGGGGAAGAGTACATTTCCAACAACAGGAGGGACTGAGGCCAGACAATAGGAAGAACTTTTTGCCAGTGAATAGTAACTCAGATATTACATTATTGTCGTCGATCATGCAATCTTTTAGTCTATTTTTTTCCTACATTTTTCTGATTGTCCCAATCAATAAGCGATGAAAACTTTTTTTTTTTTCTTTTTGCCCAGAGCCAGGGGCTCATTCCTGCAACCCTAGCTACTCTGGAGGCCTAGATCTGAGGATCATGATTCAAAGTCAGCCTAGGCAGGAAGGTTCTATGAGACTCTTATCTCCAATGAACTAGCAAAACTCCAGAAGTGGAGCAGTAGCTCAAGTGGTAGAGCACCAGCCTTGAGCACAAAAGGCTAAAGGTAGTGCTCAGGCCCTCTATGTTTACTTTTAAAAGCAAAACTAGGTGAGCCGTTGCTGCTTGAACCCCTCTGGGGTTTCTGTCCTGTGCTCACCTGCTCCTGTCTGCCACTCCTTAAACTCTCTGGGCACTACCCTCTCCTTGTTCTGAACTAACTCCTGAACTTTGCTCAGACTCCAGCCAGACAAGCACGCATGAAAGAAATATAAATATGAATAAATACAAATACAACATAAATATGAACTAAGGTGAATTAGAATGTATAAGTGTATGCCTAGTAGAAGAAGCCATAATCAAAGGAATGAGTAGCTTAAGATTCTATTTAGATTCAGTATTCACAATAGGGCAGTCCATAGAAACAGGCACTCAGCAATTGAATGGCTCAGGCGGTAGGGGAAAGGGAAGTTAGAAGGGACTGTTTCTTTGGGGAATGATAGAAATATTCTGGGATTAGACAATGATGATGATTTCACAGTTTATAACTGTAAACGGTGCATGTAAATGCTGCATGAGTTTTATCTCAGTCAAGTGTTTTATAGAGAAAATACCAGGCTGAGCACAGGGACCAGGCCGGGGAGGAAAGGGAGGGCGCGCCCCGGGCGGGCCTCTGCGTGCGTGGCCTGGCGTGCCTCAGGCGTCATGCTCACACCGGCGTTTGGCATCCAGAGCTGACGTGTGGGACTGTGCGCGCATGCGCGCTTGCGCACAGGCTTGAAATGCGTGTTTTTAACTTGCGTTCTGCCGTCTGAAAGCCAACGGTGTTGTTTCTGTGTGTGTGTGTGTGTGTGTGTGTGTGTGTCTGCTGCTGCCGCCCCTGCCGCCGCTGCTGTCATCGTCCTCCGGGCTCGTGGTGCGCAGCAAGGAGCGGTGCCTCCGGCCGGCGCGGTGCCCCCAGGGCCGGGCGCCCCGTCCGTGGGACAGCCTGGAGCAGGATTCGGCATGGTGAGTCCTGAGTCGGCCTACGAAGCGCGTACTACTGTCTCCCCCCCCCCCCAGCTGCTCGGGAGGCTGAGATCTGACGATCAGGGTTCGAAGCCAGCCCGGGTAGGAAAGTCCCTGAGACTCTGATCTCCAATGAGCCACCAGGAAACCGGAAGTGGCTCTGTGGCTCAGCAGTAGAGCATGCGCCTGGAGTAAATAAGTCCCCTGAGAGTGCCCGCCCTAGGACTGACACACGCACACGCACACAGACAGCGCGTGTGCGCGCTAGAATAGGTCCGTGGGCCACACAGCCGGGCGGGATGAAGGCGCCCGCTGTGGGTAGCGGGCTGTCCACGCCCCGTGACTCCCCCTGTTCACGGTGGCCCATCTGGGGATCCACGCCTGTGCAAACCTCTTCCCCCCACCGCCCCCCCCGCAGCCTCCCGCGGGCGCCGCCATGCCCATGATGCCCCAGCAGCCGGTCATGTTCGCACAGCCCATGATGAGGCCACCCTTCGGAGCCGCCGCGGGCCCCGGCGCGCAGGTAGGAAGCCAGCACGGGGGAGCACTGTGGCGGGAGCATCGGCCAGGGCGGCGCTTGGCTCCCAGGGGCCGGATACGCGCCCACGGCTCTGGCCTCGGAAAGGGCTGACACTCCTGCCAGGTTGCAGACATAGAACCCCGGGTCTGCCCGGGCGCCCACACCGCCGGTCCCAGCGGCCTTGGATCAGCGGCTTCCCCACGCGGGCCCCCCCAGGACGCCTACGCCAAAACACCTGGGGCGCGGGAGAGCACTGTGCACACCTGTGAGCCCACTAGAGCCCCGGGGACAGCCGGCCCCAGAGTGTCCCCGGAGTGCATTCCCCTGTGTGTCAGCTCGGAAGCTGCCTAGCCAGGCCCTTGGGGTGGCGATGGCTGGGCGAGCGGCACTCGGGTTCGCACCAGCCTAGGCCTACAGACCCGGGAAAGCCTCTTCCGTGACTCATCCTGCCAGCAGGAGCAGCCAGCCACCTTGTCACCAAGACCTGGGGGGGGGGGGGCAGAGAACAAGCCTATCACTCAAGGAGTTAGGCCTTCCACATTAACCACCAGGATGCAGGATGGGGGGGGGGGAAGCAGGTGGAGGGGAAGGGGGCTGCAGGAATTTAAGTGAGGCCGGGTTCTCGTCTATGCCATGTGCAGCTTCCACTTACAAAAAAAGGCAAAATACACGTAAGTTTCACTTATAATTCCCAACTGCCCTGGGAGCCAGCCTCGCCTGCCTAGCTAAGTCCCTTGTCAAAGTAGAGTGGTGTTATGCAGCCAAAGCACTTTGGCCATGGTGAGACACTGACTTGGGCTGAGTCCTAATTAGGACTTGGAAGAGCAACGTCCTGAGCACGCTAAACCAAAAGCCACTCACACCAGAGCACAGCTCCATGCCTGTCCTGTTTTTTACTTAACCAAGTGAGTGTTGCCTCTTATCCTTAGAGGACTTACACTGGGAGCCTTGTGGGTAGATTGCATCCCTTTTTTTCCTTGCTCCATCATTGTCTAGCTTCTATCTGTCCCCAAAGTTTACTCTCAGCTTCTTTGGCCCCTAAAAAGCTGCAAGTGAGCAAAGGGTTGGTTTCCCAAAAGATGGTGTAGAAGGCAAGAAACCCTGGCCTGCACTATACCCAGGACTCTGGTTTCAGGAAAGGTTTTCTAGTCTGTTGGACACTAATGAATCTCATCTAACAGCGCTTTAGGGGAGACGAGGAAGGTTACAAGCCTCTGGTTGGAGTAAAATTAGCCTGTATTCTAAGATGGATTTTATTTGCTGTGTTGCCTGGTAGTTGAATAGATCAGCAAATGCTACCCTTTGGGGAAGAAAGAAAGGATGTTTCTAATTTTGATGGACTTAGCACAATCTTAAGAGTTTGTGGAGGTCTTATTATTGTTGTTTTATTTTTTATGCCAGTATTGGGGCTTGGACTCAGGGCTGGGTGGTGTCCCTTAGCTTTGTCACTCAAAGCTGGTGCTCTACCACTTGAGCCACACCTCCACTTTTATCTTTTTGGTAGTTTATTGGAGCATGGACTTTCTAGCCCAGACTGGCTTGAAACCTCAGTCCTCAAATCTCTGGCTCCTGAGCAGCTAGGATTACAGGCATGACCAGTGCCTTGCTGTTATTGGGATTTTTTTTTAAACCTTATTGTATTTGTTGTGCTAAACACTTTAGAAATAAATTAATGGAGCTTTATCACTTGCAGTAGTCTTTCTTTCATAATACTAGTTTAGCATCAATTGTTACTTAATTTGGAGAATAGAAATGAAAAGCATGATATAATAAAAATACATCATTTTAATTAATACATCAATTTATAGTAAGCAGGTGGATGGCATGCTATTTTTATGTAATTTTTAGATTATATTTTTATGTCAAAGAAGTATAATTATCCTAGAATATAAAGTAAACTTGGGTTTGTAGCTTGAGAGTGTAATTATTTATTACCAATGCCTAGGCTATCCCAGTGCTCATTAATTGGTTCATATCCTAACATTGTCATCTCATATATGGATTCATTTATGGACCAATGCTTGCGTCTCTTCCAGCTTACGTTTACTTTTCCAGTATTTGCCAAGCATCATCTCCATTTTGCAAATGGCATTTGACCATTAGATGATGTTTCTGGATGTTCTAGGATGAAGCTCAGAATTGCCCCTTCTGTGTGCTAAGCTTACCCGGAGGTCCCCCCTCCCCCACCCCGCCCCACTGAACTCAGATTTCATCAGACAAATGGGAGATTTTGCATTAGGTGCAACAGAGAGCTAGCTATCACCTGCGATGCTAGCCTGAGGCCTGAGTAGGCCTTAGCCCTGAGCCTTGTAGAGAAACCTGCTCCCGAGCTCTCTCCAGTTCCAAGGTGATGTAGGAGTGCTGTGTGCCTTTGGCTGTACATCTCGTAAAGGTCTTTCCTACTGCCAGCTGGACGGGTGGATTGCATCTTCACCACACTCATAACTAGAAACCCACCTGCTCCTTAAACAAGCCCTACCCATCAAAACCTGGTTTTCACTTCAAATAAACTGCTTACAATCTTAGTCTAGTTTGCTAATCATTTTAAGAAATATCTTAAGTGGCTTCTGCAAAGTTGCCTTTCAGCCTTTCCCACCACCGCCCTCCCTCCTGCTGCAAGAAAAGCCATTTAAATGCCTTTGCTAGTTTAGTGGCACTAATAATGCAGTAAAAATGTTTTTGTGTGGGAAACTGATGAGTTTTCACTTGTGTGCCGTTGTACTGTGTAGCCATCACTTCTGTGTGTGGCTCGTTTCCCTCTCTCCTCACTTGTAACCATGCCACTCTGCCAGACTTCGCCAGTTTTACCTGGAGGCTAAGTAACATTTGGCTCCATCTGATAGCAAAGAATTTCAAGAAAGTCAAATATCATTGGAAGTGTTATTTTATCACCCCAGAATCAAACACAGTGACAAACATTGTGTCAAAGGAGAACAAAGTTCGTTTGTTTGTGTGTGACGTTGAGCCACCTGTTTTCTGCATGCTTGTTTTCTGGGGTATGCGTTCTGCCTAACGCTTGCTGTCTCTCTGTTTGCTTTCTATTCCTGCTCTTTGGGGCTGGCTGGTTTCCTTAGCTTTCTCCAAGCCCCTCACCTGCTGCTCAGAGTCCCAAGAAACCTCCAGCAAAGGACCCATTAGCGGATCTTAACATCAAGGACTTCATGTAAACCATCGAAGGTATCTACTATTGAGCTTTTCCTGTGAGCTTGTGCTATTGAGCCATAGACACAATGCTTAGCTATTTCAGATACGGTATTTGTTATTTCTGAGTTCTGGCTGGCTAATAATTGGAATCAAATTCTAAAATTCACATGAAAAGCTGTCATTACTGAAGATGTATTTTAGATCTTACTTAATGTATAAAACTGCAAGAGCAAGAACTTTAAGATGACCTCACCCTGAAAGAACTAAGATAATATTGACAAAACAAAGCTATCTAAGCCATGTGGTAGTTGTTGAAGATTACTGCTTCATTCTAATATGTCTGTAATTTATAGAATGTTAACATCTGTACTGTTACATTTAGAAATCAGTCTAAGAATGCATTTGGCTACCTGTTCATACTTTTATTATCCTTATTTTACCTCAAACTAAAGCTCAGGATGTTTGAGCTCATTCTGGAGCCTGAACTGAAGGCCTTCCATCTTGCTTGGCTTTTTTTGCTGAAGGCTGGCATTTTACTACTTGAGCCACAACTCTATTCCTGATCTTTGGTGGTTCATTAGAGATGATTCTCACCGACTTTCCTGTCCAAACTGGCTTCCAGCCTCCATCCTCAGATCTCAGCCTCCTGAGTAGTAAGGATTACAGGCCTGAGCTCTGGCACCAGGCAGTTCAGGGGTTTGTTTGGGTTATTGTGTTTTTGGTTTTTTTTTTTTCTCCCTTGTTTTGGGGTTAAGGGACTTGGGCTTTGGGGGTTAGTTCCGGATTTTTTTTTTTAGAATGAACAATAAGAAGGCAGCAGCTTTTAAACTGCTTTCCAGTGTTACTTTCATTATATTTCTATTCCCCACATTTTTAAAAAATCTGCTTACTGAAATGTTTGCGGACTCCTGCTCTACGACTGGTTTTCCTATTAAAGATAGCAAGTCGTTGTAGGACCTTGGCACCTCAGTGTGATTTCAAGTGATTTCTCTTTGTGCCCAATGTTCCCATTCCATTTTGAGTTGGGCCAGCAGAGCGCTAAGTAAGACAGCGACCCTCATTCCTTAACGAGGAAAAGTTCCAGGAATGGCCAAGGAGCAGTACAGAGCCACCTTCTATCCATCGGCCTCTTAATACGCATGCAGAGCCCTGGCCTGCCCAGAACTGTGGTGAGGAATGGAAACAGCAGGGACACCAGCGGGGCTCCGTGAGGGGTCCTGATCCCTAGGAAGGTTCCCTGAGAAGAAGAGGGTTGCGGGGGAGCAGCTGGGCTCTCCCTGCTGGGCCGTCTCTGCTCCAGCTGTTTAGTCTGCGCGTGACTCACTGACCTCCATCGTGGAGGAGAAACAAAAAAAGAAGGGTACCCACGGCCACTCGAGTCACCTGTTTTTTTCCACTGCCCAGTTTTAAAGGTTCATTGTTCATTGATTCCTGAATGTCCTGTGCGTAGCTGAATTTTCAAAGCTTTAGTGATATCATTCTCACCTCAGATGAAGTGGTACCAGCCAGTTTGTTTACATCTACTAGATGAAATGTTAGGCCTGTTCTGAAGCATGCGGAGTGCTTGCTTTGGCAGTATATGTACATATATATATATATATATATATGCATATATATGGGTGTGTGCACACACACACTAGCATTGGAATGACGTGGAAAAGATGGGCGTGGCCCCTGCTGAAAGAGAACATGTGAATTCATGAAGTGTTCTGTGTTTTTCTTTTCAAAAACTGGAGACTTGATAGGAAAATGAGAGGTGTTCCCTGTAGGATGGGGGTACAGTGGGAGAGGAGGGGTGCAGGGGATGGAGGAGAACATTGAATAAGGCCAAAATGCTTACCGTAAACATGGGCCGGGAAACTTGGGGAGGGCGGTATGGGGTGAGGGAGGTACGGCGTACACACAGACGGGCATGCCAAAGTGAAATGCCCTGGACAGCTAACCCATGCCTGGAAAGAGATGACACATTCTGAATCAGGGGGGAAAAACTGTGAAAGTGTATCGATGTGAATTTGTTACTACAGACCCCTTCGGCAGCAAAAGGCTTTTCCCTCGTCATGGTGCAGAATTCTTGTTAGGAAGGCAAAATGTCTCAGGGCTGTAGAGGGACTGACTGTTATTTCTAATTCAAGTACTTGTTCTCTTCTAACGCAAGGCCTTTTCTCTTTACAGCTGCAGTTTTTGTGACTGGATAGGAAAACGGAAATGAGTTTGGGATCTTCAGATCAGATGGCTGCTCAGAGGCTCCCAGGGGCAGAGCGCCGTGCGAGCCCCATGCTTCCTCATAACTCCTCTTCCAGGACGCGTAGCGCAGCTGCGAAGCAAGCGTTAGGAACGTGAACCTTAGCTGTTCCCCCTCCTCTCAACCCCTAGTGTATGTGGGCTACTTGTGCATTGTACGTTGTCGTAAACAATGAATGGATATTTCCAATGCCTTTAGTGCTTTTCTGGACCTTGCTTGTGGACGGGTGACACAGCTGTGGTGTGGCGAGCCATTGAGAAAGGTGTGTCTTGTGTTTTTTGAAAGTTTTGATGTGTATATACAACTTTTGGACAAACCCTAAACTCTCCCCATGAATTCTCTTCTCTTCCGTATCTGTGTTACAAGCATAATGTGATAATACCAGATAGTAAGGAAAACACTCTTAAAATACACAAAACTTTTTTCGGTGTGGAGTACATTTTTCCAATCACAGAAACTTCAGCTGTCGTGAGAAATGTTTATTTTTGTGGCACTGTATATGTTAAGAAATTTTATTTTAAAAATATATATATAAAGGTTAACGTCCATAATAAATACTTCTCCTTGAAGCTACCTTACCAAGAATGAAAACTCATAGGGGAAGACGTCCCTATTTATCACTGCTATATTAAGATGTATATTTTAATTATATTTGACAGGTTTTGCATCTAAATTGACCTATTTATGAATTCTTGATTAAATGCACTGAAAAGTGAAGCGTCCATTTCTCTCCTGTCTGTGACAATACAATTCGAGATGTGCTATTTCTGTGGTTATGAAAATACCCCAGGGATATCTGTGACTTCAAGATTACTGCAAATATTTTTACTTGGCTGTGGGTTTTCTGTACATCTGTTCATGTCATATTTCTTTGTGTGTTCTGGAGACTGGTGTTTTTCCATCCTTCCACTGAACTCAGTGTGGACTTTGTTGTAATCATTGTGACTAGAATTTAAACTGATTCCAAGAAGTGTAGCCTTCACTGTACATACTGCATTCTTTGGTTTTTAATCTGTTGTCATGTTGTCTGTGCTGATGGCTTGGCTTACGATGTGGGAGCACAAATGAGGTCGCTGTCAATCAGTGTTGCTCGTGGCTTGACGGCTCTTCATAAAAGCATATTGGATTGGAAAGGCATTCGCCTGTTTTTCAAATCACTTAATAGATGTATGGTACCATTTAAAAGTGGTTGTATCTGAATTTACTGTGGGGATAACATACACTGTAACGGGGAAATTACCCAAAACCAATTTCAAAATGGCTTTTCTTTGTATTTCAGTTTCAAACCCCAGTGCATGTACGCCCTCTGAGATGCAATAAACACCTTGAACAAAGAAAACGCAAACTTAACCTTTCTCTCTTTGATTACTTCCAAAGGCCCATGTCAAAGGCACAAGGCTGAAACCTTTTTAATATTCAAGATGAGAAATGCTGTTGGTGGGCTGGGAAGGTGGCTCAGTGGTAGACTGCTTGCCTTGCATGCCTGAGGCCCTGGGTTCAATTCCTCAGCACCACATAAGCAAAAAGAAAAAAGCCGGAAGTGGCGCTGTGGCTCAAGTGGTAGAGCCTTGAGCTGAAGAGCTGAGGGACAGAGCCCAGGCCCAGAGTTCAGGCCCCATGACTGGCAAAAATAAAAATAAAAAATAAATAAAAAGGCAAAAAAAATGCCATTGGTGCCAATATAGTTTTCCTTGGTTCTATCATTTAAAAGCAGGGTGGGGGAGGCATTTTAATGAGGACCCCTCATTTAATAGGACCCCGTACCTATTGCCAAATAAATTATCTCAGGGTCTGTTTATCTTAGGGGTGTTTATATCTTAGGGTTAGCTTTCTTTTAAAACATGCAGCTAAAATCTTGTGATGGTTTGCAAGAATTCTCTATGGAAGTCGAAGAAGCCCATGCTACCCGGTGCTGGCCTGCACACACACACACACACACACACACACACACACACACACACACATTGACACACGGAGACTGGGCCTAAACTAGATTGTTACAGCATCTCAAAAGAGTAGTCTCAGGGATGGGGGGCAGGGAGCACCCAAGGCCAGGATTCAGTTCCTAGCATGGGGGGGGAGCGGGGGGCGCGAAATAGTTCAATCTTTTTTTTTTCTTTTTGGGTCCGGTCGTGGGGCCTGAACTCTGGGCCTGGGCGCTGTCCCTCAGCTCTTCAGCTCAAGGCTAGCACTCTACCACTTGAGCCACAGTGCCACTTCCGGCTTTTTTTCTTTTTGCTTATGTGATGCTGGGGAATCGAACCCAGGGCCTCAGGCATGCAAGGCAAGTGCTCTACCACTGAGCCAGTAAAAGTGTTTATCAAAAGAAAAATACTAAAAAAAAAAAAAAAGAAATGTACTCATTATCTTGCCCGTGTAATTGAACCCCTCTGTACAGTATTTTCACAATTTAAAAAAACCCTATGTATTTAAAAAGAAAGAAAGAAAAATACTCTTCTATCTAAAACCTACTCTTTCCTTATTTCAAGATTTTTTTCCTTAGTTCAAGATTTTTATCTTGAAAGCTAAATTGCATAAGCTGAGTAATGACTTTATCATATGAATTTTATGAGTTACTTTTTATATATTGTTTTGTGGACATACTGTAATTAAAATGTGTTTTAGATTATAATTTTGACGTTAGTATTGGCGTTTAATACACTGTTATTCTTCATGGAATGTCCCAGGTAAGAAAAAAAATTCTTCATAGTAAAGTGTTATAAGCCTATTGATAAAGTCAGACACTAGAACTTTGCTGTGCTGAGAAGTGGGAGACCGTTCGAGAGCCAACGTGCTGGAGGAGACGCTCTGGGCATGGGAAAACCTCATCTTGGGGTAATGTTGAAGACAGACCAGTTTGCCCTTGGTGTTCTTACATGCTGAGTGTTTCTGTTCTCTTACTCTGCCTCTCTTTTTTTGTTTTTAGTGTTGGGGCTTGAACTGAGGGCCTGGGCGCTGCCACTGAGCTTTCGTGCTCAAGGCTAGCACTCTACCATGTGAGCCACAGCTCCACTTCTGGCTTTTTGGTGGTTAATTCGAGATAAGAGTCTTATTTATCTCAACTTTCCTGCCTTGACTGGCTTCAAACCATGATGCTCAGATCCCAGACTCCTGAGTAGTGAAGATTTGCAGGCATGAGCCACCAATGCTCAATTGGCTATTTTTTTTTTTTTTTTACTGTTGTTTGGGTCTATGGAACATTATGTAGTTATCTAGGCCAGGCTGACCTTAACTTTGAGAGCCTTGTACCTCTGACTTCTGAGGGTGGGATTATGGCTATGTACTACCATGCTTGTTTGTTTTAATGGATATATTATAATTGCATATATGCATAGCTAATATATATGTACACGTACATACATACTTAATGTAAAATGATTAAATCCTGCTAACATATCTATAACCTCATATATGTATTGTTTGTGGTGAAAACACTTGGAATTTACTAGCTTGGATAAAAATGTGAAGCAATACATATATTGAGTTACTTAGTTTAGCCACTCTTCTGTGTATACATATTTCATCAATAAATCTATACTTTGTTCATTGGTGAAAAATGAATTTAAAGAGAACTAAAAGCACTGTATTCTCTTAGCAGTTATGAGCGTGTAACACCTTAGTGTTAGCTCTAATTGCTGTGCCAAGCAATGGATCTTGAAAACTTCTTTTCTCCTGTCTGACTGAAGCTTGTATGCTTCTACCAAGAATTACCCGGCCTCTGTGGTCACTGCTCCTTGCTTTCTGTGAGTCTGACTTGTGTTTTAGATGACACATACAGGTGAGATAACACACTGTTTTTCATTTTATACCTGCCATAGGAGACCTTGCAGTTTGTCCAGTTGCAACCATATTCTTGCAAATGACAGCATTTCCCTTTCCTTGGATTCTGAACAGTACTCTGTTGTGTTGTCTCACTCCCTGCATCCATTGGTGGACACTTGACCGGACTCCCCGTCATCCCCGGGGAGTCTGGGAGTGTAGGGAGCTTCAGGGTGGAGGAGCTCATCCCTGTAGGTGCACACACAGGGCTGGACCAGGCCAGAGGTCCACCGCATTGGAGTCCACGTAATTCTTGGTCAGCTCATCATAGTAGAAGAGCTCACACCCATTGAACACCCATCTCGAATGGCAGTTTTGAACTGCAGTGTGAATGTTGTCATCATTACTTTCATCAAATCATCTCTTTGTTGTTTTTCTGTTATTATTGCACTTTAAAAAAAATAAAAGCTGGGTGCCAATAGCTCATGCCTGTAATCCTAGCTACTCAGGAGGCTGAGATCTGAGGATGACAGTTTGAAGACAGCCCAGGTAGGAAGGTCAATAAGACTCATCTCAAAAAAAAAAAAAAAAAACAGCAAAAAGCCAGAAGTGGAGCTGTGGCTCAATTAATAGGGAGCTAGCTAAAGGAGTGAGTGTCCAGCCCTGAGTTCAAGGCCCAGCACTAGCACACACACACACACACACACACACACACACACACAATTGAGGGTTTAGTTTACTATAGGAGCTTAAAATGTTTTTGCTTTTTTAAGTTAACTTTTTCCTCTGTGTAAGGGCAATGTCAATTTATGATACACACGGCACAGCCCTGGTTAACATGCCTGCTCGTTATCAATGAACTCCTTATCTCTTGCCTCAGAGCTGCTTTTGCTTTCTTGATTGGTCTGGGCTCCAGTTCTCACAGTGGTGCTTGGCTGGCCAGAGGCCAGAGGTCCCCGGCGCTGTCCACCGCACTCAGCAGCCATGAACCATACTGAGACCTCATCCTCTGACCACAGAGCATGCCCTCTCCTGCCTTCTCTCTGCCCTGTCCTGGGCCGAGAAGCCCCAGGTCTATGTTGGGCTCTGTGCTTCAAGATAATTCCTCCCCAAACCCTCACCTCAGTGCACCTGCATGGAGCTGCTCGAGGACCTCCTTCCGAAATCTCCCTTTCACCACCTTGTCCTGACTTAAAAACCTCAGTCAACTCTTGATCATCGAAGGCCAAGCGCTGTGAATACCACTGATGGTCGGTCCAGTCAAGGTCTGATTTGTAAGCCTTGGTTCCTGCCATTCCTCACCACTAGGAGGCACTGTCCCCCCTCACCAGGAATCTCAGAAGCACCATGAATGGCTCTGTGGGAGTGACACAGCTTCCAGCAAACTGCACGGATCCTGCCAACCCCAACCCAGCGGTCACTTCTAGAGCATCATTCTTGTCCATCATACTTGCCCCGCCAGCCCGATACAGTTCATCCTCTCTGGGTTCCTCCCATCTGTCCAGATGTGTGTCAGGGAGAAGGAGAGAGAAGCAGAGAGGCAGGGGTTGGAGGTGTGGCTCGGTTGGTAGAGCACCAGCCAATGAGCCAAAGTGTCAGCTACCGAGCGTCAAGAGCGTCAAGTCCTCAGTCTGGACCTAAAGGAGGGAAAGATGACAGAGAAATCCTTACCCTATTTTGAATTTTTTTTGGGGGGGGTCCAGTCATGGGGCCTGAACTCTGGGCCTGGGCGTTGTTCCTCAGCTCTTTAGCTCGAGGCTAGCGCTCTACCACTTGAGCCACAGCGGCCACTTCTGGCTTTTTTCTTTTTGCTTATGTGGTGCTGAACCCAGGGCCTCTGGCATGCAAGGCAAGCGTTCTACCACTGAGCCACCTTCCCAGCCCCGTATTTTGAATTATTTGAAGAAAGGTAGAATGCAGAACTGAACTTTGTACGCTAAGTGCCTAAGATTGAACTCAGTAAGACTTCATTGAACTATATCCATCTAACCTATAGATGTAATCTCCATTGTAAGATAGAGTTTGACGTTTTAAAAAAATCAACCATGGTACTTCATTTCCAGGCAAGAAATGAAGTTGGATTTGGGGCATTCATTAAAAATTAATCACACAGAAGTTTTGTAAATTTCATAAATTTCTTAACATAGAGAAACAATATCATAGCCCAACACTGTGGCTCAGGCCTGTAATCCAGGCCTTGAGTTCGAGCCTCAGGACCAGCACACACACACACACACACACACACACACACACATACATATTACATTCAAGTAGAGCCACCTCTGTGAGCTCGCTGAATCTGGGGGCTTCAGTGGTTTTCCTCAGCCTCCTGGTTTCCAAATTTGGCTCTGAGGAGGACCAGCCCAGGGGATGATCAAGCCAGGTCCCCAGTGGGCCTCAGGGCCCCCTGTGAGGCCCACTGTGGAATTAATAGATTATCATGACATAGACATATATATGTATATGTATACATTTACATATATATATATATATATATATACACATAGTTTGTGTGTGTGTTTGTGTATGTGTGTGTGTACACACCACTGGTCCTATGCTTGAACTC